CAGAGACAGCTCCCCTTTGTGAAGGTGGTAAAGGTCAGATATGGCCGTCCCCATGTAGCCCTTGCTCTTTTTATAACAGCTTTCCCATGCATATAAGGTAACTGAAAATATCATGCCTTCAGTCAGGCACTGGGAGCTGTAGTGACAATGCATCATGTATTGGGCTGCAAAATTGGAGGTTCAAATCCACCACCCACTCCATGGTAGAAAAAATGGGCTGTTCCTCTCATAAAGATGTGATTATAAATTATTTGCATGACAACAGTTCAGAATAAGTGATGTATACCAAAGTGGACTAGGGTAGAGGTGGGAGGGAGGAAACTGTGCAGCAATAAATGAATGAATTTTTTAAAGAGAAAGGTGAACAGCAGAAGGGGTAGGGAGGAAACTGTGCAACAATGAATGAATGGAAATCCCAGTTTTTTGTAAACTTTCATTAAAATCACATTAAAAATTATTTTTAAAAAAATATTTATAGTTTTGCGAACCCAATGGATGGTCTCCATAGGTGGGAATTGACTGGATGGTAGCATTTTTTTTGGGGGGGGTCAGGTGTACCTTTGTTTTCTAATTGACATCTTTCCTTTTTAATCCTTAAAAAGATCTATTGTAGCAAATTTGCCCAACACATGGATGTCTGTAATTTAACCAGTTCTTTATCAATGTTTATTTCTTTTGAAAGTACTGTTTAGTAGTTATCGTAGAAGTAACTTAGCACAGTAGTTAAGACTTGTGAACTCCTTTGAATGAGATTCTTTCAGTCTAATTACTAGACACTACTCGCCAAGTGTCTCTGGGCTGCCCAAGCTTTGGTTTCTCCAGCTGAAAACCTGAGTCAGGAACAATAATTTTCCAGAGTCATAGATATGGAATGAACTGATATGCAAAGCATCCAGCCGAGAACTTGCCAAGGAAGCTTTCAAAACCCTGTTAGTGGTCCTTAAAAAATTGAGATTAAGTCTGTTTTTGGTCTTTTGTTACAGTTGCTGTGTGATGTAGCAGTTTGCCAAAGAGAAGTGATTAAGCATAGAATTAGACTGATGGAGGTCTCTAAAGTGAAAACAATTTGAGATTTTTATTATGCCTTTGTGTTGTGGTGCTGGAGAAGAATACCGAATATCCTGTGGACTGCTAAGCGAACAAGCAAATATGTCTTGGAGCAGGTGGAGTGCTCTTTGGAGGCAAAGATGGCAAAGCTTCAGTTTTCATTCTCTGGGCATGTAGCTGGGTGAGGCTATTCTTGAAAAGGGACATCCTGCTTGGAGAGATGGTAGGTCAGTGAAGAACAGGAAGACCCTTAACAGGATGGATTGACACAGTGACATCAGCAATGAGCTCTAAGTGTCTCAGAGCTGAGGATGCTTCAGTATAGGGCAGGGTTCAGGATGGCTGTTACAGGGTCATGCTGCGCGACTCGATGGCACCTAACAACTGTTTTGTCCATCATTTTGTAAGCTTTAAAGGGTGGGCCTTGCATTTGGAAAATGAGAGAAATAGATCTCCAGATTTCACACTGTTGAGACATGTTGTTAGGTATTACTGAGATGATTACAACTGATAGTGATCCAATGTAAAACAAATGAAAACACAGCCCAATCCTGTGCCATCCTCATATCAATGTTATGCTTGAGCTCACGGTGCTGCACTGTGGCCTCTTTTTGCTGAAATTCTTCTTTACCAAGCATACTGTCCTTCTGAGGGATTAGCCCCCTCCTTCTAACATGCACTTCTTCCAAGACAGATTGCTTTTTGGCAGTCTATGGTATATTCAATACTCTTTGTTAACATCAAAATTCTGAGGCGTCAATTCTTTTTCATTGTTCCTTATTCAATGCCCAACTTTCACATGTATATGCAGCAAATGAAAATATCACACCTTGAGCCATCCAAGGCTCTTGAGCCTTTAAAGTGACATTCTTGTTCTTGGGCACTTTAAAGAGGTCCTTGGCAGCACATTTGCCTTTTAGGGTACATCCTTTGATTTTTCTTTTCTTCTTTCTTTCTTCCTTTTTTTTTAACTGTTGCTTCATAGATTGGATTGTAGCGCCAAGGAAAATGAAATCTTTCACATTTGTCATCCTTGACAACACACAAGCTAGTCTGATGAATTTCCTTGGCACAAAGTCTGAAGCAGCATGGGGCTCATTCATTAATTCTTTCCTTCATGCAGAACACATTTATCAAGCATCTCTCAAGCCCAGTTCTGCATCTTCAATCTCACACATCTACAAAGTATTGAGGAGCAAACAATCTCAGTAATTACAAAGCAGTGCTCACCACAGCCCATGAATCTTCAGTTTCCTGACCTTGAACTTCTTACAACTCCCATGAATACACATGCCATCTGATCTTTTCTCATCTCTGCATATATACACAGTTCTCCATTAACTGATCCTACCTCTGTTAAGCTTGAAAGATGCCTCCTTATAATTTGAAAGGCAGTTTAAATGTTATTTCTAATCAATCACAATTTGCTTGCTGGGAGTAAGGACTTGAAACACTTGCTGCAGAAGATCAAAGCCTTCAGTATGGATTGCATCTCGATGTCAAGAAAATAAAAAGTTTAGCCAATGGGCCAAGAGGCAACATCATGATAAATGGAGAAAAGACAGAGACTGTCAATTACTTCATTTAACTTGGGTCCTTGATCAAGATACTTAGTACTAGCAGTTAGGAGTTCAGGAGTCATATCATACTGTGAAAGTCTGTAGTCAGGGACTTCTCCAGATTATTAAAGAGCAAAGATGTCAATTTGAGGACTAAGGTGCACCTAATTCAGGCCAAGGCCTTTTCAATCACTTGCTATGCGTCTGAGAGCTGGACAATGAATAAAGATGACAGAAGAATAATTGATACCTTTGAGCCGTGGTGCTGGAGAAGAGTGCTGACTATCCCATGGACTGCCGAAAGAACAAACAGATATGTCTTGGGAAAAGAACTCCCAGAGTGCTCCTTAGGGGCAAAGATGATAAAGCTTTGCCTCATACATTTCTGGCATGTTGATAGAAGAGGTTATTTCTTAGAGAGGGACATCATGCTGGAAAGGTGGAGGGACAGCTAAGGAAAGGAAGACCCCTTACCAGGAGAATTGATACAGCAACTGTAGTAATGGGCTTGAGTATGTCAGAGATTGCAAGAACAGCACAGGATAGGACAGAGTTCAGATCTGTTACTCACAGGGTTGCTATGACTTGGACTCAACTAGAGAGCACCTAACAACAACAATAACAACAACCAGTCAATCAGCTGTATCCTGCACATATACCTGCTGTTATACTTATTACCCAAATCCACTGCCAGGGACTTGACTCAGTCATTCTGAAGGACAAAGTAGAACTGCCCCATAGTACTTCCATGGCTTTCAATGTTTACAGGAGCAGACTGCTGATTTCCTACTGCAGAGTTCTTGGTGGGTTTGAACCATCAACCTTTTAGTTAACAGAATGCACCAAAGTGCCACTAGTGTCCCAAACACCTATTACATACACCATAAATTGCTATCTATTTATAAAACATTCCTTTATATATAACATATACAGAGGTAGGTGGTGAGTAAGGCAAACTTGGCATGAAGTGAACAATGTAGAAATTAGTAAATGCCCATTTCCCATTCTGATGAATTATAAGGTAACAATATGATGTAACCCGGTGACTGGGGAGACCAACTATGACAGTACTCAGTGCTTTGACATACATTATTCCATTTAATTATTTTTTAACAACTCATTGTGGGCACACAAGAAAGGGCTACTGGAGTCCCAGTTCAACCTTGTTAGGTGCTGCTGAGTCAAGTACGACTCATAGAAACCCTATGAACATATGAACAGTAGATCTAAACTCTGTCCTAGCCTGTGTCATCATCATACTATCTGACATCCTCAAGCCCACTGCTGTAGTCACTCTGTCAATCCACCTAGTTATGGGTTTTCCTCTTTTTCACCATCCCTCAGTCTTCCCAAATATGATGTCCCTCTTCAAGGAATAGTCTCTCCTAGCAACATGCCCAAAATATGTGAGAAGCAGCTTTATTATCTTTGCCTCCAAGGAGTACTCTTGGCTGTACTTTCTCTAAGACTCACTGTTTTTGTTCTTTTGGCAGTCCATGGGATATTCAATCTTCAATATGGATTGTGTCTGAACATGAAAAAAAGATTATACCCCTGGACCAATACACTTTGTACCATCAGTCAGGAGATCAGGAGACATATTGCACTGGGAAAGTCTGCAGCCAGAAACCTCTCCAAATTACTGAGGAGCAATGATGTCAGTTTGAGGACTAAGGTGGTGTACCTGATTCAGGCTATGGTCTTTTCAATCATTTACTATGCATCGAACTGGTGCCTTTGAACTCTGGTGGTGCAGAAGATTACTTAATAGCTCACTGGCTCAACTTGAGGGCTTCTCAAAAGCTGATGTCAACAGATCTGTCTTTGAAAAAGGACTAGGAGTTCACTATGCAAGATATGGGGTAAGAACTAGATACCTAAGAGTCATGGTAAGGGGTGAGTTGTATTGTCTGCAGCCTCCTTTTCAGCGGCAATGCGCTTCCAGGAACACCTGTAAGGAGATAGAAAGGTAAGAATGAAGACAGGGACCAGTCAGCACAGTTTTTTACAGTGACGCCCTTGGCACCTGCGCAGAGTGCAACTGCCTGCTCGGCGCCTGCGCAGTAGGAAACTCCCCGCGCACCGGAATCGGCGCGCTCCTAGGTGGCGTCGCCGCGCGCCGAGTCATCGATAGGAAGTTCCCCGGCGATTGGGCTCCGCGCTGGGCTCCGGCGGACGCCCTCCGGGAAGGGGCGGGGCGCTCATGTCCGTGGGACTGGCCGGCTGGGTGGCCGACGCAGTGACGTCTCCTCCCGGTTACACCTCAGCCCCCTCACGACCCCGGTGGTCCCCGCTCCGGGCTCGCCGTTTGCTTGGGGAGCTGCACGGCCGCGTCTCGGCTGCTGTCCCCGCCACCAAGGCCGGGCCCGGCCGGTGGACCCTCCCGCTGCCGCCATGAAGCTGCGCATCCGGCTGCAGAAGCAGACCTGGCAGCTGGAGCTGCAGGAAGAGGAGCCGACGCTGGGGCAGCTGCGCGCCCATGTGGCCCAGGTCCTGTTGCCCAGCTTGGGGTACAGGTACGCGGGGACGCTTCCATCTCGGGCTCGGGTGTACCTGGGCGGGAAAGTGAAAGTGGACACACTTTCAGACTCTGCGCTAGCGGAGGGTGTCGGTGGGTCGCGGGGTCGCCTGTGCGCCCTGTGCCGTCACCACTGTGCGGGGTGCGGGGCGTCCCGCGAAGTCACGTGAGTGTGACCTCTGGGCGTCGCCCTGCGGGCTGTCATTCACGCGGGCTCCCGAGCGGGGCTGGCCCTTGCGGGGAGCCCCAGCTTCAGGAATCTATGGCGCATCCTCCTGGGGGGCCCCCATGCCCTCCACAGTAAGTCACGCACCCCAATTTTATTGCAATCGAATATGCAGAAAAGCTAGGACACAACCGTGCACCGGATTTTAAACTTTAACGTGGGGCATGAAACTTGGACTGAGTCACACTTTTCACCTTCTACACCTGCTGAGTATTTAATTGAAAAAGTTTGGGACGTGCTAGATAGAAGTTAAAAAACGTGCCTCCCATCAAGGGCTCCCTTGTACCGCTGCTTTCTGGGCGCAGTTATTTTTTAAGACCTCACCGATTGGCCTGGGTGCCTACCATCCGCGTGAGTCCTTTGTCGATCTCCCTGCAGCCTTTCAAAAAAGTGCAGCGAGGAGGCATTGTTCACATATTTTTATTTTCTTGGGCCAGGTGTCGCTTCTTTGTGAAAACATCTCAGCTCATATGGTAGCCCTGTGGAACTTGCAGTTTTAGGATAGAGAAATTGAGACGTCAGCAGGCTCAAGTTCTGTTAATTTATGGGACCGCTGATGAGGCTGTGCTGTTTCCGCAAAAGATATATTTTGGGGGACAGTGATCGGGGAGTAGAGGATGAAATGCAGGTGCTTGTTTTTTTGTTTGTTTTTTTCTTAAATTATTTTTATTATTATTAATTTTAATGAAAATATACTGAGATTTTGGATTTCCATTTATTCATTGTCGCACTTTTCACCCTGCCCACCCCTCCCCTCCAGTTCGTTCTTCTCTTTGAAAAGTAAAAGAGAAAGTCTTTCATTGTTATACAGTCCCTCCCCCCAAGTCCACTCCACTGTGCAGCCTTCGTTCTGGACTCTGTCATGACAATAGTGCGTAATCATATATACCTTTTAAACAGTTCTTGTTTTCAAATATGGAGCTCAAGTGAACTTGGAATTAGAGCTAAGACAACATAAAGAAGTCGGAGGGGAGCTTTTAAGGGGAATTCCTAAAGAGAGAACCTTGTTAATGAATTGCTCCATTTATGAGACTGTTAAAAGCTTCCACTTTATTTAGTTTTAGGGAGTTAAAGAGAGACCATATTATCCACTTTATTTAGTTTTAGGGAGTTAAAGTGAGACCATTTTAGATCCTCACTCTTTCCTTTTTAAAGTTAGGACATTGGATTAAAAGAAATCCTGTTTCCGTCTAAATTTAAAAAAGAATGAGATAAGAGCACAATTTCTTTAAAATATTAATATTATGATAAGTGCTATGGCAAAGCTCAAGTGTTTTGCTTGTAGCCAACATGACTCATAAATTTTCAAAATTTACTTCTCTTTTCAAGGCATTTTGGTGTACGCGTATGAATAATTTTTTAAATTTGGCGAGATAATCTTGAAAGAACATGAAACACAAAATGACTCAGTTTGCCAAGAGATTCAGTTTTAGTTTCTCTTTTCAGGCTCATTTTCCACAGTTGACTGATTTACAGACAGGCACTTAAGCCACAGTTTGTGAAAATAAGTGCATCCCGTCTGAAGGTGTCTTCATTTTAAAATTGATAGTTTTCAGTAGTCTTCATATGCCACTATTATTTTGAAAGTGTCTTTACTGAGCTTGTGGATTTGGAGATGCCATGAAAATATTTGGAAAAACCATGGAGCTTCTAGGATTTCATTCTTCAGGGAAGTTCAGTTTAGATTCAGAAAATAGAAAAGTTTTAAACTCTTTTCCCAGAAACCAGCATGTAATTTTTGAAATAGCTTCTTTTCTAAAGGATGAGGAAGAGCTCATGTTTTTAAGTGAATAGTTTTTTACCTTCTCTATCCCAAAGGTAAAGATATTTAACATACATCCACATTATACTTGATACTCTTGAAAAGCAAGCTTTCGCTGTGACTAATGATCCAGAAACACCTACAGTTCACTTGATTATGTTTTTCCCTTTTTCTGCCAAAGTAAGGATAGTGTTTTTATGGGTGCTGGCAGGTTTCCAGCGTCTTATCAAAACGTTTTGAAACCAGAAGCAGAACCGTTTGTTTTCTAGGAAGAAGAGATAGTTTCTCTTCCAGACATGTCTCTACCAACGACTTTATAAGGCTGCATGTACTTCCTGATGAAAGGAAAACATAAGTGGCTATGTGATTTTCAGAGGATTGTAGCCTTCGTTACTTCATAGGACAGAGTAGACTTGTCCCTTAGAGACAAAAGATTTCCAAGGCTGTAAATCATTACGAAGGCAGCTCCATTTTTGTCCCACAGAGCAGCTGGTGGCTTCAAACCACTGACCTTTTGTTAGCAGTTGAGTAATTAATTCACTGAGTCACCAGAGTCCTTGTCATCATCAGGAATGAGACACTTGTACCCAGGTTATGAACTTAGAGAAATGATATTTATACAACAGGGTTCATTCAGGTCTTAGATTCAAAGAGTCTCTGTGGGTTGTCTACAACTCGGCACTAACAACAGCAACTGCATGTACTCAGCTAGCATTTGTGATTGTAAATACTAATTTAGGACGGGAGTCTAGGTTTGAAGAATGAAATATGCCAGATGTCGTGTCACACGCTTGGTACCAGCTGCCAGGAAATCAAAACATGGATTGCATTGGGAAAATTGGTGTCAGGGACCTCTCCACAGTACTGAAGAGCAACGATTTAGAAGAGGCCATGGCACCAGGTATATCACTGCTGATGTCAGATGGATCCTGGCTGAAAGTAAGAAATACCAGAATGTCTATCTGTGCTTTATTGACTATGCAGAGGTGTTTGTGTGGATCATGACAGGTTGTGGCTGACGTTGAGAAGAATGGGAATCCCAGAGCATTTGATTGTGCTCATGAGGAACTTATACCTGGACCAGGAGGCTGTTGTGCGAACAGAACAGGGAGCGCTGCATGGTTTGCAATTGGGAAGGGAGGCCGTCAGGGTTGTATTTTTGTCTTCATACCTGTTATCTATATGCTGAGCAAATTATCGGAGAAGCTGGACTCTTCAGAGGAGTGTGGCATCAGGGTTGGAGGGAGACTCATCAATAACCTGCCTTATGCAGATGACACAAACTTACTTCCTGAAAGTGAGGAGGATTTGAAGCACTTGTTGGCAGAAGATCAGGAATGCAGCCTTAAGTATGGATTATGTCTCAATGTCAAGAAAACAACCATTGTTACCACTGGACCAATAGGCAGTGTCATGATGGATGGAGATTGAAAAAGACTACAGCTTCATCTTGCTTGGGTCCACACCCTTGGAACGAGCAGTCAGGAAATAAGGAGAGGCATTGTCCTGGGAAAATCTACAGGTAGGGACCTTTCCAAATTATTGAGGAGTAGTGAGCAGTTTGAGGACTAATATGCATCTGATTCAGGCCATGGTCTTTTCGATTACTAGCTGTGCATCCGAGGTCTGGACAGTGAATAAGGATGACAGAAAAAGAATTGACGTCTTTGAGTTGTGGTTTTGGAGAAGGGCACTGAACATTCCAAGAGAACAAACAGATATATCTTGCAGATGGTGCAGCAGGAGTGCTCTTTGGAGGCAAGAATGGTGAGGCTTTGCCTCAACATCCTTTGGATATGTTGCTAGGAAGGGCTATTTCTTGGAGACGGACATCAACTTGGGAGGGTGGAGGGATAGTGCAAGAGAGGAAGATCCTGGATGAGATGCAGTGACTCAGTGACTGGGGCAAAGGGGGTATGTGTATCAGGGACAATGAAATTGGCTCAAGATAGAGCAGGGTTCAGAGCTGTTATAAGGTCCCTATGAGTTATAGGCGACTCCATGGCACATACAACCACAAGAAGTGCTGTGCAATGACATTGAACGGTGTCATCATGGTATTCCCAGTTAACTTTTTTTTGTGGTTCTTTTTTTTTTTTAAATTAAGTTTAATGAAAGTTTACAGACTTTGGATTTCCATTCATTCATTGTTGCACTTTAAAAAAAAAGTTTGTTATTTTTATTACTTTCTATGTGTGTACCGTCAAATCAGATCTGACTGGTACAGGAGGAGATTGTCTCTCCTTCAGCAAAGCATCTGGTGGATTTGAACTGTGCACCTCTGGGATTACAGTGCAGCTTCTTGCCACTAGGCCACCAGAGCTCACCCATTGTTGCACTTTTAGTTTTTGGTGGCTGCAGTTACTCTGTAAGTACAAGTGCCTGCTGTTTGCCAGTTACAGGAAATACTGCAGGATTGGCCAAATAGGATCTGGACAAAGACCAGCAAACACGATGCTTTCAAATAGTGGTAACACAATAAAAATACACAAGGTGGAAGGCATCCCTGGAGAGAGGGCATTTGAGCTGAGAGCTGCACGTTGGGGAAGACACACTCATTTCAGGGTCTGGAAGAGCAGGTGTGAAGGCCAAAGGCTTCAAAGACCTTGATCTGCTCTGAGAGGGGAATAGAGAACAGCGAACAAGAGGGAGGATGGCACGAGGGGAGGTACAAGTGGGGAGGTGTCAAATCATAAAGGACCTTGGAGAACTCAATGTTAAGAATTCTTTCCCAAATTCATATAGAGGCCGATGGGGAGTTTTAAGTAGAAAAATCACATTGTATTTAAAAAAAGATTGTTTCCTTGACTCTGAGTTGCCATTAATTTATAAGGTGCACATTGTTTTACTAAAATAGGTATTAATGTCAGAAAATACTGTCTCATAGTCCCCTTAATCCTCTCCTAGAACTTTAGTCATTAGAAATCTTTAATAATTTCAGTATCTTACAATAAGAGTAAGTAGTTTTGATACTTTTCACCAAACTTGGACTTCTGTGGGGTTTTTTTGGGGGGTGTGGTGCCTTGTTTTGATTTTGTTATGTCATTCTTCTGTGACCATACATTGTAGATTAAATAGTGTTCCTGAAGGTGATGATGACAGGTAGCCCTTACTCTCCTTATCCGTCTTTCTTGACAGTTCTGACACCCGGTTTGCAATTTCATTGAACAAGAAGGATGCCCTCACTGCAGATGAAGAGACCTTGTCTTCATATGGGATTGTTTCTGGGGACTTGATATGTTTGGTTCTTGAAGATGCCAGTCCAGCACCTAACTTGCCTTCATCCACAGATTCAGAGCATTCCTCACTCCAGAGTAATGACCACCCCTCTTTGGCCGCCAGCTCCGACCAGTCCAGCAAACAAGATGAACCACTGGGAGATCCATTCCAGGGACAGACCTCGCAGTCCGATGATGCTGTGGTGGGTATCTGAAGACCACGACATGGCGATAAGTCATACTCAACAGTGGAACTCTGAATGAGGCTCAGTAGTTAATCTAATAATCTGTTAGAATGATGTAATCTGTAGTTGTAAATTTTGACTGTATTATGAATGCATTCCCACTCTGTCTGCTAAATGCTGGCACCAGCTTTAAGGGTACCTGATTTTTACCTGTTTTGTTCTGACACGTGCTCCTTCTGATTAATTACTCATTGGCCTGTGTTATGTCGGCTCATGATGTCCGGTGTGGCCATCGAGTTGATCCCATTTCTGGTGACTCCATGTGTTGTAGAACGCTCTCTCTAGGGTGTTGTTGGCTGTAATTTTGATGGAAGCAGGCTGTTGGGCCTCTGTTCTCTGGCACCAGCGCGTGGATTCAGACAGCCAACCTTTAGATGAATAGCCGAGTACTTGATTGATGTACCACTCAAGGGCCTTCTTAAGACTATTTCAAACCAGACTCCCTGCTGCCTGAATGAACTTGACTCGTGGTGTGACGATAGGACAGGGAAGAACCTCTGCATAGACTAGAAATGTCCGTGAAGCTGGCTCCACCTTTCTGCTGTGGAGTGGCTCAAACCAGAAACTCATTCTGTCAAGACAGAACCGACTCAGAGCTGCCATTCCAGTGGGTTTTCACAGACTGTAAATTACACGGGAAGGAGATCACCCATCTTCTGCTGGGCAGCTGGTGGGTCCCAGCTGTCAGCTTTTGGGTTGGCAGTGCAACCTCCCTGCTGACCAGGTCACCACAGCTCCCTGTGGACCAGCAAATAGGTTGAAATCCTTGACACTTGGTTCATAATTAGGGGCTTTAACCATTGTAGGATCAATGATCTATAGGTCTTTGATGGCCTAGTGGTAGGGATGTGCCACAACCCAAAGGTACATTGTTCAAATCCACTAGCCGCTCTGCTGTTGTGTGGGACAAGATGGACAATGTCCTGTGCTATTTACATGTCTCTGAAAACCTGCTGGAGGGTCTACCATGAGTGGGTTCTGACTTGATGGTACCCAGCTACAAATGTATGTGTATATGTTCGTTGCTGTCAAGTTGGGACTGCTTCTGCTGACCCTCCAGCAGGTTTTCTAAGGCTGCAAATCACACTGGAGGAGATTGGCCATCTGTCTTCCTCAGAGCTGCCGATGGAGGGGCACGCTTCTCCCCTGCTATTACCTGCTTCTGAAAATCGACTGAAGGGTTAGCTGTGGGTTGGTGCTGACTCAGTGGTACACAACAATATTTCAGTTATTTCCGATAGGTTGCAGTACATTTATACATGGATTTTTTTTTGAGGTCAGGAAGGAGTGACTTCAGACTCCATTTGTCTGACATAAATTTGGAAATTTGTGCACTGATGATCTCCTCTGCTCAGACCAGCTCTTCTGTCTGCCAGTGGCTCTGCTGTTTCCCTGAGCTCGGAGTGCTTTTTTACTCTTTCCTCCTGTCCACACCATTAGCCAACCATGCCAGTTTCTCCTTTCTATTCCAGGCTACTTTCTAGAGTCATCTTCTATGTTTTGGTGATGATGTTCCCTTATTCCTTAGTAACTGTCTCTCAGATCTATCTGTGCTTGTACTTTTTGAATTATAAAATGCACAGTGTCTCTAGTTCAGCCTTTCCGTTGAGGATGGTGTAGGGCAGGACTGGGTTCAGATCTGTTGTTCAAAGGTCACTAGGGGTTGTACTCAACAGCGCCTAACAATAGATTGAATAGGTGTAGAGAGAGAATACAGCCCTGACACACTCCCTTCTTTATTTTAAACTATGTTCCCCATCAAGAACCTACATCTTGGTAAATTAGGTAGGCTTCAAGTTGGAGCTGCTTCTGTTTGGATTTCCCCTGCCCCCCCTTTCCTTTCTTAAAAAAGCAGTGCTGCCTGTTTGCTGGGGAAAATGTGTGGACATGGTTTAGTACCATACTTTCTCCTTTCCAGGCAGTCTGTGTATGTATCTGCTGCTGACTGCGTTTCCTTGTGGACTTTTGTGTCCTCCTTTTTTAGTGGTGTTGGTTTGAACGTCTCCCCATCGCATGTTGCGTTGCCTTTCCCTGCAGTCCTCTAATTATGGATCTATTCTCTGTTTACCAGTTTTTCACTTCTTTCTCCCTCTCTCACTATCCTTAGTAACTATCCAAGAATCAGACTTCCTTCATGTAAACTTTTCTTTGTTGATGTTAATATTATATGCCATTGAGTTGGAACTGACTCAGAGTTGACGCTCCAGTGCGCTTTTAGGGGATGCAAACTTCACAGGAGGAGATTGCTCGTCTTTCTCCCAGGGTGCTGCTGGATTCAAACTCTGGGCCTTTTGGTTTGGCAGCACAACCCCCTACTGCTATACCACCAGAGTGGCAAGCCTTTCCTTTAGATTTTTAAAATAGTATTTGTATACGATATTTGTCCTTTTGAGACTGATTTATTTCAATCTGCATAATGTCCTCTAATTTCATCCATATTATGGTGTATTTCAAGATTCTTTATTATTAAGCATTGAATAGAACTCCACTGTGTACCGTCTGTGTCCGTAGCACATCATGTGATGTACCACAGTTGTTTTTGTTTTTTTATCCATTGGTCAACACTGGGGTGGTTTCTGTTACTATGTGCTGTTCATAAAACAGCTCTTATTTCTTTGTTATATGCATTTAATAGTGGTGGTTGCTGGATCAAATATTTTTCAGTGGTGGTTCCAATAGCAACATCTTTGTCAGCCTGTGTATTGTCTTATGGAACATGTTGTCCTCACTGGGCTGAGAGCTCCTTGCTGTTGTAATTTGCATTGCTCTGATGCCTCATGGTACATTTCTTTGTGAGTTAGCCATCTGAATATCATCTTTGGTGACGCATCTTTGCAGGTCTTTTGCCCATTTTGTGATTGGATTGTTTTTTGTCAAGGTGGTGGGAGCTTTCTGTAAGTTTTAGAGCTGAATCTCTTGCAAGATATGTTATTGTTTTTCCTCTCTGGGATTCTAGAAGAATTTTCACATTTGGCTCCTTCTCATTCCTCCAGTATTATAAAACTATGTAGTCTTGATTTCCCCCCATCTTCAGGGAGCCTTGGTGGTCTAGTGGGAAGGGAGTTCTGCTGCCACCCTAAAAGGAAGGCAGTTCGAATCCACCAACTACTCCAATGGAGAAAGATGGACACCTGAGCGATTTTCAGCCTCTGAAAAGCCACTAGAGGGTAAGCTATGAATTGCTTCCCACTCGATAGTCTACAGCTACTTCAGTGAAGTAGAATGGGCATAAGAAGACATACCTGCTTTGTTTTGAGTTGATCACAAGCCTTTTAAAAGTTTTTGAGCAAAATGAATATGAACTCTCATGGCCTAGGACTGAGAAGTTGTGGGACAATCCCAGGGACAGGCGATTTCAATCCACCAGATGCAGTTCTTTTTAAGGTTTATTATGTCTCAGAGAGCCTTGAATCTGAAGTGCTGGGTTCATTTCAAGTTTTTATTATCTAGTAACCTTGATTGTGTTTGATCTTTGCTGAACCCCAGTTAGGTTATTTCTAAAACAGAGGTGACCTTTACTCTGCTTAGATTATAGGATTGTTGTAAGGCACAAATGAGAAAACAACTGAAAAACAGAAGTACTGTGAAATTGTAAGAAACTACCTTTCAGCATTTGCGCAACAAGCATTTATTGAGGACCGTTTTTCGGTGCTGGGATTTGTGTATTGGGGTTCAGGCGTGGGTCACATGCAGGTTGACCTTCCTAAGCTTGCCCAGAAGGAGCCCTGGAGACCCGGTAGTAAGGAGCTGTGCCACCAGCCACGTGTGCTTCATGTGGTTCAGGTCCACCAGCTGCACCACCGGGGAAAGATGGGCCAGCTCATCGCATGGACTGCCTGCCTGTGGAAACCTGCTGGAGGCTCAGCTCTGAGTCGATCCCAACTCAGTGGTGCATGACAACAACAAGAAGCAAACAGAAGGCCGTTTTGGTGGTCTGTAGGGACTTGTGCAGATAACCCAAAAGGCTGCACCTCTCTGGTGGTTTGAAGCCCCCAGCAGCTCTGCAGGGGAAAGGTGGTCTGCCTCCTGTGTGATTTGTAGCCTTGGAAACCCGACAGAGGGTCAGCCGTGAGTTGGTGCTGACTCAGTAACAACAAGAGAGAAACCTGCAGAAGCCTTGGTGGTGCAGTGCTTAACACATTGGACTGCTAACTGAAAGATCAGCAGTTTGACCCCACTAGCTGGTCCCTGGGAGACAGATGGTCATTCTCCTCCCATAAATTTAGACTTATAGCCTTGGAGATCCTTCTGAGGAGACTTCAGAACCGACCTAGCTGCAGTGGTGGGCAGGAGGTGAGCTTGCGGTTACGGTGGGGTCAGAAAATTACCGTGCTCTGTCCTCTGTTGCCGTTGGTTCCTGATGCTTAATGACCAGATACAGGACAGAGGAGAACGGCCACGTAGGATTTCCAGGCCACTGAGCTGCATGGAAGGTGACAGCCATTTCTCTCTTGGAGCAGCTGTTGGATCTGAACTGCTGACCTTGTGGTTCTCAGCCGAGCTCTTACCCACTGTCCCACTGGGTTCCTTGAAAATGGCAATGCAGTGTGGTAAAGTCCAGCAAGAGGTCTTTCATGGGGTAGTATAGGTTACCCCTGTTGAAAAAATGGGGGACACCAGAGTGGGGAAAGGGCACTGGCAGAAAGAAGGTGCATCAACATGGAATCTGAGATCAGATGGTGAAGGACCTCGTGAGTTGAAGAGTTTGAACTTTATTTGTAGGCATGCATTTCTTCAAGTTTGCTGAGAAAGCTGCCTTTCATGAGACTGTAAATGATTGTTACATGGATGCTGAACCTTGAGGAAGGAAGGGTTTCTTAGGTTAATATTATAGATGTTAATAAATATATTGAACCTCTCAGACCCTTTTATGGGAACTCTGGTGGCAAGAATCTGCTCTGCAATCCCGAGTGCACACAGTTCAGACCCACCAGCTGTTTGGCGGGAGAAGGGTGGGCAGTCTCCTCCCCTGCTCTTGACTGTCTCTGAAAACCCCCGGAGGCTCAGCTCTCAGGAGGTTCCAGCTCCACGGTGCACACCAACAGCAGCAGAGCTTTTCATAAGACTGCGTAACCCTGCGGGTGTAGTGAGTGGGCAGTTTGAACTTGTCCCCTCTTCTGTGTGTGAGGGGAGGACACAGCGGTCTCGTCATATTAAGCCTTACAGCCATAGAAAGCAGCTGGAGGGCTGCTGTGAGGGGGGATTGACTTGATGGCATGTTTGTTTTTTTTTTTTAATAAAATTGATAATGCATTATCAATTAGTAATTGAATATTGCAGTTATAATTTAATGGCTGTAGTGTGTAACATCTTCCAAACTTACTTTGTTGTGGGTCACTTTTCCCCTTAAGAACGTCTTGGATCATGTGCTAGGGCACAGGAGGAAAACACTGTTGTCTGCAGCGGGAGGTGCTGGGGGAGTCCATTGTAAGCAAGGCCCCAGGGTGTGATCAGATCCTTAACTGTCAGACACCCTGGCAGCAGTGAGCGGAATGCCTTTGAAGACCCTGATAGAAGCCTGAAGCAGGGCTGTGCCAGTGGAGAGGAAGGGAGGGATTTTGGAGATGTTTAGGAGACAGTCAGTGGCACTTTCTGAGATGGGGAGTGGAGGTTAGTGGAGGAGCCGTCTAGGATGATTTCCAGGTTTTCGGCATAATCAGCACGGTAGAATTCCAGGCCTGAGGACTTGAGGTTGGCAGGAGGTGCCTGCGGCAGACTCCTTTATGTCTGAGGGATACTGCCTTTTCTGACCCAGTGGTGTCCTTTGGCTTTGAACACTCAACCACAGTTCACTTGAGGATACAAAATGCATTGCATAGAAAGGAAAGTCTGTTTACTGAATCTGCGCTTTCCTTTTCAGCCGGGGCCTAGTCAGAGTGTCGACATGGAGTCTGTAGAGATGGATACCATCGAGGTGGAAGAGGGCACAGCTTTCTATCCTTCAGAACCGATGCTCTGCAGTGAGACGGAGGAAGGGCAGGTGCCTCATTCGCTGGAGATCCTGTACCAGGCAGCTGCTTGCTCTAATGCCAATGATGCCCTCATCGTGCTGGTCCATCTTCTCATGGTGGAGTCAGGCTACATACCTCTCGTAAGTATAGCAGGCAGAACGTGAACATGCTGGTGTCTGCTTCCTGTTGTGTGAAGGCGTGTGCGCATAAGTATGAGTAAGACATGGAGGTGTTCGTGTTTGTTGTTGTTGTTGTTATGTGCCGTCAAGTCATTTGCGACTCCTAGCAACCCTATGTACAACAGCCCTAAACCCTGCTCTATCCTGTACCAATCGCACTGCCTCTGACACATCTATCCTGATTACCCCAGTCACTGAATCAATCCACCTCACAGAGGGCCTTCCCCTCCTGCGCTGTCCCTCTACTCTACCCAGCATGATGTCCCTCTCCAAGGACCTGTCTCTCCTTAAAATATGTCCAAAGTATGTCAGACGAAGCCCCAGAATCCTTGCCTCCAAGGAGCAGCCTGGTTTAACCCTCTCCAGGATGAATCTGTTTGTTTTCTTGGTAGTCCGTGGTACATTCAATACTCTTCTCCAGCACCACAGCTCAAAGGCATCTATAATTTCTCTTCTATCCTCCCTAGTCATTGTCCAACTCTCTGATGCATAACAAGTGATTGCAAAGACCATGGCCTGTATCAGGTGCACCTTAGTCTCCAGAGAGACACCGTTGCTTTTGAGTACTTCAGAGAGGTCCCTAACAGCCGACTTTCGAATCGCAATACATTTTTTGATTTCCTGGCTGCTGGCCAAGAGTGCTGTTGAGTAGAGACTGTAAGGGAGTTCTGGGGACCTTGTGGTCAGAATGTGGGCTACAGTCCACCAGCTGCTCCGCAGGATGAGGGCATCTAACTGCCTCTGAAAACCCACCAGAGGGTCAGCTCTGCGACGGTATACGACAGCAACAACAAACACAACAACTGAGAATGTAAAGCCTCACTCAGTGATGGGCACATGTGGGCACTCAGTGAATGCCCCTTCCCCTTGTAACATCTTCCTTCCTCGTTTTCTTTACCAGTTTTTAGTTCATAGTGTAAGAATGATGACAGTGATGGCATCTGCTGTCAAGGGTATCCAGATAAAATAGATCAGTAGATGGGAGTTGGTGTGGGTGGACACCTGGCATTTTTTCTTCGTTAATGACTCTGTGAAATGCCAGTAACTTAGTAAGATGCAGTTAGGAAGAACATTGTCTTAAGCTGTTGTGCTGACCTGCATCCATTCATCTGGATATCTTTGGAAAATGCTGATTGTGGTTTCATGAGCCGGGGGTAGAGCGTGTTGTGCATGTTCCTTCCAGCGGCCAGGGCTGCTGGTCTAGGGGCCACGCTGTGAGAAGATGACCTGAGGAGTCATTTGCTCTGTGATCACTGAACCCTTGCAGCTTGCTTGCACTGAGGCAGAATTAGGAACGACAGATGTTAGGACAGCCTTGTCCCTGAGGAATCCATAAGTGGGGGAGAGGAAGACATTATTAGTATAATATTATGTTCTAAGTAACAATAATGGAAATAATTTTTTACTATAGAGAAAAGAGCATAGGATGGAAGATAGGAAATGACAGTTGGGAATTTTTTTTTTAAAAAAAAAAATACCCTTTTCATAGAGAAGTGTACTCGGGGTGGGGGGTGGGGGGAAGGGACGTGGGAATTGTATACTCTGAAGGAATTTTGTTTTGTTTTTTTTTTCTCTCTTCGGAGGGGGAAGAGAGCTGGTGGGGAGGGGTGGGCAGGGAGAAAATTGCGGCAATGAAGGAATGGAAATCCAAGACCCCTGTAAAAAAAAAAAAATAAATAAAAAAAATTACAGTAAAACAAAACAAAGCAAAAATACCCTTTTTTTAAAGGGTTTCAGAAAGGAATTTGTGATAATTAATGACTGTGCCTTGCTAGGCAGCTGCAGTTGTGCAGCCAAGATAAAGGCGTGGCCTCTCTAGAGGTTTGACACCCCCTGCCCCCGAGCTGCAGAGCAGGAGACAGGTGCATGGTTTCCTCCCAGATGAGTTACAGCCTCTGAAAAGGTGGTTCCCCCTTGATGGCAATGAGAGACAGAGAACTGCTTTTAAAAAGAAAAAGTCATACCTGTTTGATGCTAATTTTGAAAAACACTGGAATACGTTATCCTGTGATAGCACTATTGATGATTCGATACATACCGTTTAGGGTAGTATCCCGTGGACTGCCGTGAGGACAGACAGATCGGTCCTGAAGGAAGGGCAGCCAGAGTGCTCCATAGACTCGAGGATGGCGAAGCTAACTGGACATGTTTTCAGAAGGAACCAGTCCTTAGAGACATCAGCCAGGAAAGGTAGAGAGTCAGCCAAGAGGAAGACCTTCCGTGAAACGGATCAGCGCAGTGGCTCCCTCAGGGGCGTGAGCAGGACGGAGACCATGAGGATGGACCAGGACAGCGCAAGGCGCCGCTGTTCACAGGGCCGCTGGGAATCCTGGTCACCCAGCAGCAGTGAAGGGGCTGTGGGGAGTGCTTATCTCTAGACCACTTAGGGACTTCTTGGGTTTGGCATCATTTTTCCAGTAAGCCTTTTCTTCATGGTTTGTTTCCCTTTGATTTCCTTCTCCAGGGGACAGAAGCCAAGGCGGTGTCCATGCCCGAGCAGTGGCGCTCCGGCGGCGTGTACAAGCTGCAGTACACGCACCCGCTCTGCAACAGCAGCTGTGCTGGACTCACCTGCGTGCCTTTGGGGAACCTCGTCGTCGTAAACGGTGATTGGATGCCAGAGGCACGGGCTTTAGTTGATGATACTTCCGTGTCTCTCCCCAAGTGTCTGCTAAGTCCCTTCAGTGGTGGGCTCTCATGATACTGTTGGAAGGTGTGCTCAGCCTTCCTCTGTAGATCACTGGCAATACTGGCCTGATGTGAGGGCCAGCAGCATACTCTCTGCATATTTTAACCTTGTGATTTTGGGCTCCCACCCCCATCCCCCAAGTAATGGAAGCTTTTGTGGATCTAAGCAGTAGTCCATGGGAAATGACGTGACAGTAGAAGTGAGGTGAACACATGACCGCTGTTACACGTGGACTCTTTGAAGGATGCTTTTTATTTCTGCCTAGGGATGACTTTTATTTATTTGTATTTTAAATTTAAAACTACAGCCTTGGCTGAGAGCTCGTGAGATTGAGCTGGGCCAGCTTTCATCCAGTTCAGCATCTCTGTGTATATGTGTGATTACATTGAACTTCCTGGGGACATCAAGAATACTGACTGTTTGGGTCTAGGGAGGGATGATGTTGCGAAACTGGCAAGATTATTTTGAATTTTTTTTTTTTTTAGAAAATCTACTTTATTTGAATTAAAGCTTATAAATCTTAATAGTTTTTCCAGAAAAATATTAATAATCATTAATTGCTACTGATTGATGTGATTAATTCATGACAATGCCTGAGAAGACTAATTATATATTGCTAGTCACTTGACCTGCCTTCCTTCTTTATTAGGGGTTTTTTGGTCTTTTTTTTTTTATTTTTTGCTTACAAAGTTCATATACATTGTGCTTCATACTATTCTTCTCATTGTGTTTCATACAATCATTCTCATGCATTATGTTTTATAAAATTTATCACAGTTGGACTTAGACATTCATTATCCTGTCTTTTCACCTGTATCCTTCCCATTTCCTCTCCCCACCACCACCCAACAGCTGAATGGATTGAGAAGTTGTGGTACATTCACACAATGGAATACTGTGCAGCAGTCAAGAGCAACAGTTTTGAAAAATTAATACCTAACTTGGGAGAGACTGGAGAGCATTATGCTGAGTGAACTAATTCAGTCTTATAAGGACAAATACTGTATCTGAACCATTATCATAAAAATAGAAGGATAACTAGTAAAACAGTATGGGAACTCAGGGGGTGAAAGGGTGGCAGTAGAAGGGAAGGATGGGTAGGGGGAAAACCATCACAAGGTGGTAGGATCCTTTTAACAGCAAGACGTAGACTCATTGCTTAAAGAGTAAAGAGTAGCATTTTCAATGACTCCATTAGAAAGAATGAATTAATTGTATTTGACAGCCTTCTATTAAGCTTGTTGCGTATCTTTCTGTAACTAGTAAGCGGCTGTTGGTACTTCTTAGTGGATTTTATAGAAGGATGCTTACTGTTGCTTTTAAAAGATAATGCTTTAAGAGGGATTTTCCTTCTTGTGACAGTTTGAGTATCTTTTTTTTTTACACCTCATTTGGAAGAAGGGCGACGTACAGCAGTTTGCTTTGTAAAATGTATTAGTTTCCTGGGGGAAGAGAAACGTCATCTTTTTTATTCTTCTGCTTCTTTACAGTTACACTAAAAATAAACAGTGAGCTTAAACCTGTAAAACGATTGCAGCTGAGGCCAGAATGTTTTATTTGCAAGGAAGCACCAGGTAATGTACTCGTTATTGAAATTTATTGGTGGAAAACTCTCAAAATGTTTGTTTTTAGGTGTATGTATGTGTATAGTATACTTTTCTATGTGTAAATAACAGATTCCAGCTACACTAACACATCTCTAATCGTAATTCATTAATAATAACTAAACAATGATGATGTGAACCACAAAGGAGTTGCCATTTGTGAGTAGTTGCTGTTTGTAAGCAACTTGCACATGCCTTGAATTTTTGACATAATAATAGACTTTAGATTTTATGAGGGTAAAAAAAAAAGATTTTATGGGGGTCGATTCATAGCCATGACAAGATAGAACTTGAGAACTGCTTGTTGGGGTTTGTTTATATTTTATAAAAATATTAATAGATCACATGTATGTGAGTAAATATGTGTGTCTGGTCATTTAGACTAATAAAATGTTACTGTTTTCCTTAAAAAATATTAATAGATACAAGGAAGGCAGATTTTTATTTTTGATATCTTTCAGTTAAACCTATGATATGGGGGGGGTAGGTGGTCAGTAAAGAAGAGATGAGTGGAGGTAGAACTGGCCTTTTCCAGTTTTCTGTTACTTGCTGGACAAGTAAGTGTCTTTGCAGCCATTAATAATCTAAGTCCTAGTAACAGGTGTGGATGATTGAAAATCCAGAGGGGAGTGGTCTGGTACAGTGGTGAGATGGCCTTGACTGTGGCGTCTTACGGAAAGGCTGGAGCTATAGCTTTGCAGTAAAGGCCTTGAGACCTATTCTGATTAGGTTCTAGGGGAGATCAGGCTTTGAGAGCAGGACTTTTAAACTAAAATTGGTAGGAAAAGGAGACATCAGCATACGTATTTGTATTACTGGCTGGCGTAGAATTGGAAGTTGGGTAACAGAACTTAACATTTAGTATCAGATCAGAGAGTTGGACAGTAACCAAGGAGGATAGGAGAATTGATGCCTTTGAGCTGTGGTGCTGGAGAAGAGTATTGAGAATACCATGGACTGCTAGGAAAACAAACAGATTTGTCCTGGAGAGGGTTAAACCGGGTGGCTCCTTGGAGGCAAGGATTCTGAGGCTCCGTCTAACATACTTTGGACATGTTGTGAGGAGAGACTGGTCCTTGGAGAGGGACATCATGCTTGGGAGGGTGGAGGGACGGCGCAGGAGCGGAAGGCCCTCTATGAGGTGGATTGATTCAGTGACTGGGGTAATTGGGATGGGAGTGTCGGAGACAGTGCGATTGGCACAGGACAGAGTGGAGTTTAGGGCTGTTGTACATAGGGTCGCTATGAGTCGCAAGCGACTCGACGGCACATAACAACAACATCAGTCTAGACCACTGTTTCTCAGTCGTCTTTTTCATTATGGTGTCTTTCAGGAGTCTTTTTTAAGTCCCTGGTGGTGCAGCAGTTAATCTGTTTGGGCAGAAGTGCCTTGGAAGAAAGGCCTGGCAATTTATTTACAAAATTAGCAGCCATTAAAGCCCTGTGGTACAGTATGCACATAGGCTTGTCGTGGATAGGAATTGGCTTGATGGCAGTTGTTTCAGTTCCATTTGGAAGAACCTGTCCCTCCCTCCGTTGTCCTTGAGCTCTACAAGTTGGGCGTAACCTTGTTAATTTGATATCCTGGGATTTTTCAGCATTCTGTTCAATCATGTACTGTTATTTTTGTAAGAATTATTGTTTGTGAGTATTTTCCCCTTGGATTTGGTTGGCAGTAGTAGATGATACCATTTCAAGTTTTCTCACTTGATTTTTTTGTTCTATTTTTTTTTTATTTTTAAAAATGTAGAGGAAACTGCAGCCAAGGTTTACAAAGATCTTCAGAAACTCTCCCGCCTCTTCAAAGACCACCTGGTGTACCCTCTCCTGGCTTTTACACGACAAGGTGAGAGAGAACACTTTGACAGACCCAGTGGTTGGAGAGAAGAGTTTGCTCAATCTGCTTAGTGCTCCATTCCATCTAACGTTCTTTTATTCTAGTCAAGTTTTGCTCTTTTAAAACTAAGCTTATGTGTTGTTGTTAGGTGCCCTCAAGTCAAGTATGACTCATAGCAGCGCTGTCAACAGTAGATGTGAACTCTGTCCTCTCCTGTGCCATCTTCACAATCCCTAACACTGGAGCCCATTGCTTCAGTCACAAGCCCGTTGCTTGTGTCAACCCATTTGGTTGAAGATCTTCCTCCCTTTTGCCATCTCTCCACCTTTCCAAGAAAAATGTCCTCCTCCGAGGAGTTGCATCTCCTAGCAATATGCCCAAAATACGTGAGACAAAGCCTACATGCTAAGCCCTTAAGTATTATCACTCTTCTATTATATTTCTGTAGTATTTGACACATCTTTATGATGACCCAAAGGTGCTCTGGGTAGCATTCAGTTGTTAACCAGAAGGTTGGCAGTTCAAACCCACCAGCTGCTTTGTGGAAGAACAGTGTGGCAATGGACTCCCATAAATGTTGTTAGGTGCTGGGGGTCGACCGTGACTAATAGCAGCCCTGTGCGCAGTGTGAACTCTGTAGGCCTACTGGTAAGAAGCTGCGTTGCAATCTCAAAGTCAGGTGGTTTGAATCTACCAGTTGCTCTGCAGGAGAGGGACGGGCAGTCTCCTCTCATGTGGGTGAGCTGTGAGTTTGTTCCGACTTGATGGCTCAGAGCAGCAACAACATGCCCTGACCTGTGCCATTCTCACCTCTGGCCATCCCAAGCTGTGGGCAGTTACTGTGTGAGTCCCTCTCGTTGGTGGTCTTGGTCTCTTTTCACTGACCCTGTACTTCTCTCAGCGTGACGTCTTCCAAGGGCTGGGCCTCCTGACATAAAGATGACTGGAAACCCTATAGGGCAGTTTTGCTCTGTCCTGTAGGGTCACAGTGAGTCAGAATTGACTTAATGGCAACAGATTTCTTTTGTATTCCCCCATGGGTATGATGGTTTTATCCCAGTGTCTTGAATTTGGTATGATTTCTTGCCTCCTAAGCACTGAGCATCCCATGGACAGCCAAGAGAACAAATAGATAAGTCTTGGAGAGGGTGCAGCCGGAGTGCTCTTTGGAGGCAAGAATGATGAGGCTTTGCCTCACACACCTTGGGCATGTTGCTAGGAGGGGCTATTCCTTGGAAAAGGACATGAAGCTGGGATGGGTTGAAGGTCAGCCAAGAGGAAGACCCTCCATCAGGTGGATTGATGTGGTGACTGCTGCAATGGGCTCTTGTGTGTCAGGAAGTGTGAGGATGGCACAGGACAGAACAGGGTTCAGATCTTTTGTTCACAGGGTCACTGAGTTGTGCTCGACTCGGCCGACATAGTAGATAATGTGTTGTACTCACTTTTGTATTCTTGAAGTCTGCCACAACTATAAGCAGTATTAAGTAAACACATAAGTAATGGATAGTTTGTAAATTGAGTCTTATTTTGTTACTTATTTTTTTTTAACCAAAATTTCTTTGGATTGTCTTGTCAGGTTTTTTGTTTGATGTCTCATATTTTTGTTCAATGCTAACACCAAATTTGAAGTAGATACATTTTATACTTATTTCATGGGTGATGAAGCCATAATTAGTTGAGATTTATGATTGGCACAAAATCTCTATTTTTCAGGTTTCTCTAATTTGTACTGCAGTAAAAATATTACCAATTTTTGATGACTTTAAGGGACAAATAATTTCTTGCTCATGTATGTGTCACGTGTGAGTTTTCGTTGGTGGGACAGTCTCTTCTTGGGACAGAGGGAGAGCAGGACCCGTGTACCATGTGTTGGTTCTTAAAACTTTTACTCAGAAGTCTGTCATCTCCACTCAGATGTCATTGGGCAAACCAGATAAAACACAGTGGCCATGCCTGAGGCCAATGCAATGAGGAGCTAATTACAGAGTAAGAAACAGTCAATTAAGAACCATAAGACAATCTCCTCCAGTCTTTTAACTAGAAAGTAGGTTCAGACATGCACAAATGTGCAGGTAGGTAATGTGACTTTATTTGCCAACTGCGTGCAGAAGAATGCATAATATTGTGGGTCTCGAGCCGCATGGCCCTGTGACCATTGTGCCACAGTCTTCCCCATTAGTTGGTGGTAAAGGAAGGGGAATAATGTGAATATTAATACTCTCAGATAACATCTTTGTTGGATTTTTATTATCTTTGTTAGTGGGTAATGATACTAGAAATGTTTTTTAAAAACTCAATACTTAAAAAGGAAATTACGTTTTAATTCCGAATGTATTACCATCCTTCTTCCCTTTTATTGGCTTTGCTTCTGAGTATGTCTACATCCCTTTTTCCTTTTCTAGCATGCTAGATGTGAAATAATAGTAATTGCTAATACTTCAGGGTTTACTGTGTGCCATTGCTCTAAGTGTTTTTAAATATATTTCAGTTTCCCAGTAGCTTAGTGAAGTAGGTAATGTTTTAACCCACGTTATAGATGAGGACTTTGAGTTAGAGGTCAACTTTTTCCAAAGCCACTCAGCTAGGAAGTGGCAGGGTTGAGAACCATTTGTAAGGACTTTTTTTTCTCTTCATGATAAGGAGTTGTGCTCCAGCCCCAAAGCATGCAGTTCAAATCCAGCTGCTCCGTAGGAAAAAAGATCCGTCTCCTTACATGCAATTTACTGTCTCTGAAAACCTGCTAGAGGGTCAGCTACGTGTAGGTTCCCAGTCAGTGGTATACGGTGCTGGCCAGTGTTTAGGCATCATCACAGCCATTGTAATGAAGCTTGATTTGTTTGTGTTGCCATGAAATGATACAGCAAATAAAGGACCTAGAGCTAACGTGATTTGGTATCAACCTGGCATTAAAGATCATAGATAATGCTGTAATGGAGACTACCAGCTAATTGGCTACCTCTTTAGAATGCAGTAAAGGAGCCTTGGTCTTGGTGGTGTAGTGCAGAATGTCTTGGACTGTTAACGGGAAGGTTGGTAGTTCGAATCCAACAGTCACACCTTGGGAGAAAGATAACAGTCTTCTCTCGTAAAGATAGGCAGCCTTGGAGACCGGATGGAGGGGCACTCTGAGGTAGAGCTGGCACCAGCTTCATTTGGTCCTTTTGGTTCTGAAACAGTAAGGAACCCTGGTGGCATAGTGGGTGTTGGACTGCCCAGGGGTTGGTAGTTCAACTCTACCAACCGCTCCACGGGAGAAGGAGAAGGCAATCTCCCCTCCTAAAGATTTACAGCCTTGGAAACCTGGTGCAGGGGCCAGGAGGCAGATTTGACTCGCTGACAGGATTAGGAAGCAGTAAGTTGGCAATTTAGCCTTGGCTCTGGAGTAAGATGAACGCCCTTTGCTCCGTCATGCCTGTGACTTCTCTCTTTTTTCCCTTTTAGCCCTGAACCTCCCAGATATATTTGGGCTGTTAGTGCTCCCGTTGGAGCTGAAGCTGCGGATCTTCCGCCTTCTGGATGTTCGCTCCGTCCTGTCCTTGTCTGCAGTTTGCCGAGACCTCTTCAGCACGTCAAATGACCAGCTCCTGTGGAGGTTTCTGTATCTGCGGGACTTTCGAGGTCATTTTCCTGGTGATTTCCATAATGAAGTAGTAAAAGGGCTGTGTGCTGTGGAAGTCTTACGTAATTAGCTTGCTAAAGGGTTTTAGTTGCAAGCATATTACTGTTGTTTTTTAAAAGAGTAGCAAGTGGTCACATAACAGTCTCCGAGAGTCTAAGCTTAATACATACCATTGTCTATGTCCTCAGAGCTCTCTTCATTCCTACATTGTTGTGTTTTCCATGACACAAATAGCTCTTTAGTCTAAAAGATGATTTAATGATATAAAAGAGAAATCCTGATTCTTCTCCCCGTGTGCACCTTCCTCAGTGCCTGTGTCATTCAGATTTAAACAGTCGGTTATCAGACATCTTGTAGGAACCCTGTTCTCAATGATTAGTGGTGTATGAGAATTTGAACTTAGATTTGAATGTGTCAGTCAAAGGGTGCTTACTTTTCTGTTTGCATGTGTTTAGAGCGCATCTCAGTTTTTTAATTTTTACATTTATTGGTAGTTTATTTTTGTATCGTGATGATTATCAGGACCTTAGTCCACTGAGAAAATTTCCCTTTCTCTCAAATCCTAAAAAGGACAGTTCAGTCCTGCTGCCTTGTGGGTTGACATGTTTTCATTTTAGCGCTTAGTGAGTAAGCTACCTCAGCTGCTCCCTGCAAGGACCTGTTTATAGGAGTTAACTCTGCTCAGTCTGGTCAGAATGAGAAGTTAGTTAAAGCTTACGTTAAAAAGACTAGAACAAGGGCACTCTGGTGGCCTAGTGGCAAGAAGCTGCACTGCAATGCCAAAGGCGCAGTTCAAATCCACCAGATGTTCTGCTGGAGAAGGAGGGGCAGTCTCCTCCTGTACCAGATCCGATTCAGTGGTACACACACAAATAATGAAATAAAAAATATTAAAAAAAAAGAATAGAACATGTCTTCTAAGATATTGTTGATCCCTTTGCAGCTCTGTGGTGTGGAAGACCTAAAGGACTGAAAGTAGACGAATAGGGATATAATTTATAGCATATCTGTGTGTTTTTAATTTTCATAGTTTTCATAGAAACTGTCCTTTATTTGCAAAATGTGCTTAGGAACATTTCTGAAGAACAAAATTATATTACGGGTCTGAAGAATTCATACCAGGAATGGAGTTTGAGAGGTTTGAATCCTGACTGGAATGTCAAGAAGATACTCTTTCATCCACCTCCGTGCTGCACCCACGTGACTTTAGAAGTAGATGTGGGCTTGTCCTTTCCCACCACAGTTATGGGAGGAGGCTGTAGAGAGAACAGGTGCCTACAGTGGCGCCACCCCGAGGGTGGTGGTTGGAATTCACCGGCTGTGCCACGGGCGTAAGACGGGCCAGTGTCCTATGCAGTTGACACACCTGCGGAGAACCTGCTGGCAGTTAGCTGGAAGTTCTACCCAACGGCAGAGAGTTGCTTGCAGACATATGTATTGTGGAATGGTTATTGGGACTAAGCAGGCAATCAGATCTATAAGTTCTTTTTTTTTTTTTTCTCTAATTTTTTAAAAATTTTATTTTATTCTTTTTTGTGTGTACTGTCAAATTGGATCTGACTGGTACAGGAGGAGATTGTCCCTCCTCCAGCAGAGCATCTGATGGATTTGAACCACGTACCTCTGGAATTACAGTGCAGCTTTTTGCCACAGATCTGTCAGTTCTTAAAGGAGCAGAAAGGCTGACATTTTCAGCTTCAGTGGAGAAGACAGGCTTTCATAGGTTTGGACCAGGGAACACGTTAGAGTCCTGCTCACCTATGGCGTGTTGCTGCTGCTGTCATGTACCATTGAGTCAGAACTGACCCATAGGGGACCCTCCGGCGGGTTTTCAGAGGCTGTTAATCGCATGGGGGGAGATGGCCCATCCTTGTCCCGCGGAGCAGCTGGTGGATTCCAACAGCGAAGCTTCTTGCCACGAGGCCACCAATGCTCCCTGTGGCATGTTGCCAGGGACGCTTTACTTCTCCATGGTCACACGGTGATGGCTTGGTGATTACTGCAGTGGTGTTTGGAATGCAGAGGGTTTACCCAGAGCTCCAAACCCTCCAGGATTGCTAGGTCCACGGCCAAGACCCCGACTCTGGGCTTCTGCCACTGTTGTTTCTGTGGGTCACTGGTTTTCAAATAGTTGTTTGATACAGGGGTGAGTTAGGGGTCATTTTAAAAAAAAACACAACAAACCACAAAACCCTGCATGCATCTTAGATTGTAGGAGTAAATTGGTTTAAGTGTAGCGGGTCTCTAGTGGCGAGGTCGACAGCGAGTTGCACTGCTCACCAAAAGGCTGTATCTCTGGTGGTTCGAATCCACCAGCTGCTCCTCCGGAACGAGATGGCACTTGCATTGCTAGTTACAGCGTCGGAAACCTGCTGAAGAGTCATTGTGGGTTGGAACTGAACTTGACTCCAGTGAGTTTTTGAGTTTTGTTTCAAGTACACATGTGCAGTGTTGTACTAGGCTCCAGTGTGAAGTACTTGTTCTGTGGTTCATATGTAAGAAGTTTGAACGACAATTCTGATTGTCCATGCCCTACCTTAAGGTGGTAACCGTGAAACTCTGGAGGGTAGGTCTTGTGTGTGTGCATGGATGTGTGTTTAAAATGTGTGAGGTCTGCAGGGTTCTGTTGGCTCTCCTCTCTCTCCTGATTGCCACTTCTCTTCCCACTGAACCTGTGCCCTTGAGCCTAAAGGCTTACGTGCTGTCTTGTCTTAGGTGGCAGCAATATGTGTCACCTCAAAAAAAATTCTACTTTGAGTCAAAAGTAAAACCCAAGATGGTCAACATGTAAAGCAGGCTGGCTTGTGAATACTCCTAAGAGGAAGAAATGCTCTTTCATTTTTGTGTTCAAGTCCAGGTTTAAGTTCTGTTCCATCACTGTCACCTTTACAGATGGTGCAGGTTTGTTTGTAAGCTGAATGGTCAGAATTCATACTGAACTTGCTTACAGATTTACTGTTACTAGGCGGGAATTTCTGCAAGTCTTATCTCCACATTAATGCAGTAACTTAGAGGAGAAGTCACTATTTTTTCCATACTCTTCATTAAACTGATAGTTGAGGGGTTCCTCTGTTTCTCTTTAATTCATATCAAGTAAGTACCTGTTCTGTTTTATATAAACAACCCAAACCCGAACCTATTGCCTTCAAGTGGATTCTGACTCCTGGCTCCCGCCCTGGGTTTCTGAGTCTGTAAATCATAACACGACGGCACTACCTCATCTTTCTCCTGTGGAACAGCTGGTGAACTTGAACTGACTAATGTGTCACCAGCCCTCTTTATGTAAATAAAGTGCCCATTTAGAAAAGTCTTAGCCGCAGTGATGCTTTGAAAACTGTTGGGAGAAGATAATCTACGTCAAACAGAGCAGAGAGCTTGAAGTCAGCTTTACCTCCACTCAGCACAGGAGCCCAGCGGAGCTTGTGCAGGCTCGAGTTGTGTGGGCTGTGGGCTTAGAAGCAGTTGCCACTCATGGCCTAGAGCGAGGGGGGAAGACAAGCAGAGCGGAGCGCCAGCCTCCGTGTGTCCATCCGTAGTCCCTGTGGGAACCACTGCCTTTACTTACACGCAGCACAGAACAGTGACCGTCACCTCAGCCAGCAGGAAAGGAGTTGATGTCCACGCTCCATGCTTGCTTAGGAAGACAGGAAGTGGTTTAACGTTGGATGAATGAAAAATTTCTATCTTTGGTGTTTTATTATTTTCTTTTTTAGATACTACTGCCAGAGCTCGAGACACAGATTGGAAAGATGTAAGTGTTCTTAAATATGAAGGCTAATAATTATGACAATTAGTACATTAAAGATGTATTTAACTTTTTATTATGACTTAATGAAATCTGTTTCATCAAATGTATAGCTATATCTCAGTAAATGGAGATGTTTGCTTGTTTTACCTTGGACTTTGTCGTGTGCTGTGAATCAGTGCTGACCCTTAGTGGCCTCGTATGACGGAGCCTCGGGGCCTTGCTAGCTGTCATCATCATGGGAGCAGATCTCTGGGTCTCTTCTCTCATGAAGTGGCTGGTGGATTTGAACCACCAACCTTTTGAGTTGTTACCAAGCTCTTTAATCGTTGTGCTTTATGGAGGCTCCTTAGACTTAGACTTTCCTATATATATTTTTTTTTCTCATATAGGAAAAAGCCTTAAAATGATGATTGCTTTTATGTAGACTTAATAGAAAACATTCTTAGTTAGATAACTAAGGAGCTGTCATAACTTAGTGGTAAGGAATTGCTCTGCCAACACAGAGGTGTGTGGTTCGAATCCACCAGCTGCTCCAAAGGAGAAAGGTGGACAGTCTCTTCCTGTAAGATTTACTGCCTCTGAAAACCTGCTGGAGGGCCAGCTATGGATTGGTTCCAACTTGACTTTAAAGCCTCAGTTATGTGCAGAATACATAATACTACTGTTCTCCAGAAAGAGGCTCCATTCTCTAAACTAGGCCTCTCTTTTGTGTTGTTTATTTTGGGATCAATTAAAGATGTCATTTAGGTGAAAAATGACTTGAAGTGTTGTGGGTATCACCTCCTCCTTTACTCTCAGTACTTTATATTTTGGTGCTCGACATTCTCCAACAAAATTTGAGCTTTTCCATTTTCAGAAAAGGCTACGAATTTCGCAGCAGCCCTCTAATTTCAGTCTTAAAGTCTGTGCCATCCAGGTGTCCTGCCCTTGATATATTGTTGCTTCATATGAACAGTGTTAGTCATGGCAGCTGCAGTGTGATTGAAGAATAGCGTTCACTTGGCTCTGTATTCAGAGCTGCTACCTTAGTCATGAAGTGAGAAACTGGTAAATGTTCTCTGCTCTCTCTGCCCGGATGGATGCTGTGGTGAGAGCAGAGGCAGATTCCTGGGAGCCCTCCTGCCACTTCCCGTGTTGCTCTTCTCTTTTCCAGTTGTACAAGAAGCGGTACAAGCAGAGAAAAGCTGCCTGCAGAGGAAAGCTGGTCATCATCCAGGCAGGACCACCCCTCCCCATCCCCGGTTCTCTGCTGCCTCCTGGCATTATTGGTGGGGACTATGATGCAAGGCCTATGCTTCCCTTTGCCGGGCACCCAATCAGATCCATCATCCCTGGGCCTGGGGAGCTTCCCGGCCAGTTCCCTCTGCTCAGACCACGCTTTGATCCAGTCGTTCCACTTCCGGGCCCAGACCCCCTCCAGCCTGGCCCAGGACGAGGCAATGACAGGTTTCCCTTAAGGCCCGGCAGGGGTCAGCCAGCTGACCGTTGGCCTCCCTTCATGTGATTGCTTTGTCATCTCACCCAAGAGCTTGCTCTGTCTTCTCAAAGGCCAGCCAGTGTCGTCCTTGGGGAAAACACAGTTGATTTTATCATTCTGGCCGTGATTGGAGACAGGCATTCATGGAGCCTCGCTGTCTGTGCTGAGGCTTGAGAATGGGCCCTGGGGCCCCAGAGCCACTGCGGACGAGCCTTGGCCTTGAGAATAGTAGAACTCTGCTTTCTTACCTCTGGCTTCCCTTTTCGAACAAAGGTTGTGTTTTGATAATATTCTGGATCAGATTAAATAAATAATTTGTAAATAGCATGGCACATGTGACTCTAATTATTCTGGAAAGATATACTTAATCAGCACTCCAGTGGCTTCAAGTGTAACTTGGATATTTAAAAATCCTCAGGAAGAACTGTCTGAAAGGAATAAATGATTATTCATTCATTACATGTGTGAAAACAGTCTGGAGCAAGGGGTGCATTGCTAGGTGGGGGGAGGGGAAGGAGAAGAAAATTTACAACAATGAATTTAAAAAAAAATAAATTTACAAACCCCAGAGGATCCAAGGGGGGAAGGGTGGGAGCAGAGGAGTGAGCATGGGGTGGAGGTGGGGTCATAGGGTTGTACAGTTTGATGGGTAGGAGGAGGAATGGGTAATGGAAATGGGAAAATCCAGAGTGAAAGACAATATTTGCAAGCTTTTACATAAGCCAGTATATAACAAAAATTATATTTAACAACAGAAACCCTCAGAGAACCTAGTCAGTGTCATCCAAATGGTTATTGCAGGAGGTGTCCTTTCAATGGATTTAATGGCACCCTTTCTTCAAATGTAATCATTTCCTAAAGTCTACGTTATGAAATGACTGGAACCAGAGCTAGTCTGATGGTGAAGATGACACGAGACTGGGCACTTTCTGTCCACGTGGTGTGTACCTAGGAGCTGCCTCGATGGCATTGACATCAGAGTCCGGTCTCAGTGGGCTTTGCGGTAAGTATCTGGCCACTCACCTCTGTCAACCTCCGTCTGCAGTCCTTTGGAGGCTCCGTGCTGGCCCCGCCTGGCCTCTGGACAGCAGCACTGCTTGAAGACTGTGAGGCTGTGGGCCATGCTTCTGGCTCCTGAGGTGAGTTGAAGGGAAAGACCGTGTTGTGAATTCTTGGCCCCTAATCCATAAATGATTGACATCTGTTAAGAGTTTATTATTCAGAGGGCTTACCCCTTATTTAAAAGAACATGTGCTTTGAAGACTTGAAATAGACAAAATTCAAGATTTATTTTTCTTTCAAGAAGGGGAAAAATGCTAAACACAGATTCATCATACAAACAACTGTATAGAAACATGCTATAGTGACAGGAATTTAAATCTGAATCACAACACAGGAATAGAGAGAGCACTATTAATACCTGCAGGAAATATGTAGGAATATTGCCAATATTTTTTTTTCTTTTTAAAAAATCTGTTTTGCATATAAGGAAATGGCTTGGGATGTTAGGTGTTGCAAGAATATTCTGAGTCCTGTATATAAGTGAAAAATATTATTTGTTTCTACACACGCTTAATATTGAGTCTTTTCCTCATCACAGTGGAGAAAACTCAATGATAGGATTTCCCAGTGGTCATGTTACTCGAGTAGCTTGATAGGTCAAGGACTGGACTGCTGGCTTGACTTTCTGCTGGCTTTTGTAAATAAATGAGCGACTTGACAATCTTAACACATGTGTCCCTTAATGCCTTCTGGTTTTAAGGAAGTCTTGGTTTAAGAGGGTCACCTTAAAGCTTTGATGGGTCCAGATACATTCTAGTTCTCCTCTGCATCTCTTTGTGGCCATGTATGATGTTATACTTGCTATGTGGTGGGGGTGGGAGGATGTGACTACGAGAAGCACCAAATACCAGAGTTTTCCTCGGGCAGTTGTTTTCCAGTGGTCCTTGAGGGTCCAGGGCTGATGCTGGTATCCTTGGGGAGAGGTGCAGCTTTTCTTACCTGACCTTGGACTTGGCTGCAGATATGCTAAATCTCTTCATCTCAGGATACAGGTGGTGTGCCCTAAATGAAAATCTGCAGCCGCCTCAAATCATGTATTGCAGTGAAGTGTTAACAAACCCCTGCTCCTTTTGAAGAGTTGAATTTAAGCTTAGAAGCTGCCAAAATCTTCCATACTTTCTACCTGACCCGGGCTGCTGAGTTGTACGCTTTGCTGGTGTTTAATGAATGAGAAGGAAACTGATTTAGTTGTAGCCCATTCGCTGCCTGATGTTCCATCTTGAACTACGAGGGAGGCAAGGCAGCCGTGGTGCGCCAGGGCACGCGCTCAGCTTCACTGCTGTGAACCCCAAGGACCTTCTGTGGCCCCTCATTCCCCCCTTAGCTGTTGTTATTAAGAGGAGCTTGGTCTCTCCTCTCTGTCTCCTTGTTTTCTTCCTGTTGATAAGTGCAAACTAATGACCTGGCATGACTGGTAATCGGATCCTGGTCCCTTCTCGATTGACGATACATTCATTCCTTAAGTAAAACAAGAGTTGGGCTCTGCCCTGTGCCCCTCCTGCTTGGCTTGACAGCTGCGTTTCCTCTATCCGAGCTGGATCATGGCCTCTTTTTGCTCGCCTGCACTTGGACAGAGTGTCAAGCTTTGACTTCTACCTGCCCTCTTTATGGAGCCTGAACAAGGAGTGAGACAGAGGTCCTAGCTCCCCACTGCACATAGACCCCCGAACCTGCTGCCCCTGAGCCGATGGAAGGAAACAGGCTGAGCAGTTGGTGGGTTCAAACTGCTGCCCTGCCAAGCACTTAACTGCTGCACCATCGGGCTTCTGGTGAGCCTTCTGTGCCATAACTATGGTAAAGAATCCTTTGAGTAAACTCCAGTTGAGTGGCTGAGATTCTTGGGAAATACAAGGACTTAACTCACTCACTGAGAGCATTGGACACAGTGGATGCAGCAGTGGGTTTAAACCCAGCAGAGATAGGGACATGGTGCAGAATTTTGCTCTACTGTACACAGGGCCCCCTGTGAGTCACAGCCAACTCAGCAGCACCCAACAGCAACGTGGTCTCCCCCAAACTACATGCGTGCAGATGAACAGAAGATTATTTCAGTGCAGTGTATAAAATGTATTACATCATGGGTCTGGACATGTCTGCTTCGTTATAAAAGTCAGGCTGGCTGGTTTGAGAAAAGGACTTGTGTTCCTTTGGGTTGAAATATCTGAATGCTGAGAATGTTTTAGAGAAAAGGGAGAGAGTAGAGGAAATCGAAGAGAGGCCATGCTGATGCTGTTTAGGGAGGCACTAAACAGCTCGTCGAGGACCAGGTGAGTTAAGGGATGATGGCAAGGACATCATCCCTGAAGAAAGAAAAAAGGTCATTACAAACACAGAAGAAAGAAAAACCCCCAAAATATAGATGTCAGAAGGGACAAGAAATTGCACCGGAGTGTCAAGAAGACAAAGGGAAAACATGTTGAAGTAAAAGAGCTGAACAGGAGATTTCGAAGGACAGCTTGGGAAAACAAAGCACACAGTTTTATAATGGAATGTGCAGAGAGCCGGAATTGGAGAATAAAAAGGGAAGAACTTGCTCTACATTCCGTAAGCCTCGAGTCGCAATATTGAAAGATACTGTGGGAAATACATTGAATGACCCAGAAAGCATCACAAGAAGATGTCACTGCCCCAAAAGAACTGACTGACACTGGAAAAATATCAAGAAGTACCATGTGATCAGGAGCCAATGGTAATGAAGGAAGAAGGTGAAGCATCATTGGGGACCATGGCAAAATAGAAGGCCCGGGAATTGATAGGATACCAATTGACTTGTTTCAGTTAACAAATGCAGCCCTAGATGTGCTCACAGGTCTCTACCCAGAAATTTGGAGGACAGCTGTCTGGCTAATGGATTGGAAGAGGTTCATCTTTGTTCTCATTCCCAAGAAAGGCGATTCAACAGAGTGTAAAAACTATTGAACACTATCATTAATATCACATGTAAACAAAGTCCTGCTGAAGATCATTCAAAACCGACTAGAGCAGAATATAGATGGGGAACTGGCAGAAGTTCAAGCAGAATTTAGAAGAGGTGATAGTCGCAGGGAGATCATTGCCGATGTCAAATGGGTCCTGGCTGAAATTAAACTAGAAGAATGTCTATTTATGCTTTATTGACTATGCAAAGGCATTTGACTATGTGGATCATAACAAGTTAGGACTAACATTGAGACGAATGGGAATCCCAGAGCATTTAGTTGTGCTCACGTGAAAACCTATACCTAGACAAGGAGGCTGTTGTGTGAACAGAGCAAGGGAACACTGCATGGTTTAAGAAGGGGTGCTCTCTCCATATCTGTTCAATCAGTATGCGGAGCAAATAATCGAGAAGCTGGACTCTGAAGAGGAATGTGGCATCAGGATCGGAGGGAGAGTCATAGTAACATGCATTATTATATAGATGACATAACCTTGGTTGTTGAATGTGAGGAACACTTGAAGCACTTGTCGCAGAAGATCAAACAGCCTTCAGTATGAATTGCATGTCAATGTCAAGAAAAAGATTTTGACCACCAGACTGACAGGCAGCATCATGATAGATGGTGAAAAGATTGAAACTGTCAACATCATCTTACTTGGATTCACAGTTAACACCCTTGGTATCAGCATTCAGGAAATTAAGAGACATATTGTACTAGGGAAGTATGCAGTTCAGGACTGCTCCAGATTATTGAGGAGTAATGATACCAGTTTGAGGACTAAGGTGTGTCTGGTTCAGGCCATGGTCTTTCTGATCACTTGCTATGCATCTGAGAGCTGGGCAAGGAATAAGGATGACAGAAGAATTATTTATGCCTTTGAGCTGTGGTGTTGGAGAAGAGTGCTGGATATTCCCTGGACTGTGAAAAGAACAAATATATATCTTGGAGAGAGTGCCGCCAGAATGCTCTTTGGAGGCAAGGATGATGAAGCTTCACCTCATGTACTTAGAGCATGTTGCTAGGAGGGACTATTCCTTGGCGAGGGACATGATGCTCAGAAAGGTAGAAGGTAAGTGAAGGGGAGGTAGACACTTGACTAGATTGACACGGTGACTGCTACAGTGGCCCTGCTGTGTCAGGAAGTGTGAGGATGGCACAGGATAGAACAGTGTTCAGTTCTGTTGTTCATAGGGTCACTATGGGTTGTACTTGACTCCACAGCACCTAACAACAACAAGACCTCCAGCATGTTGTGCTAACCCATCTATGGCCTGTTTCCCTGCAGTTCTAGTCTACCAGCCATGGCACGGAGACCGATAAACAATCTTCTACCATTATGATTGAAATCCTTGAGATCCTGATGGAGTGACACTAATTTGAGGCCTACTCACCAGCAATGGGATTTTTGAGTTTTGCTTGAGGCTTTGGGCAGTGCAAATGGTTAATGCTCCGCCAGTAACCAAATCATGGGAATTTCAAGTCCACCATCACTTGGGAAGGGAGGCTTGACATTCTACACTGGGAAAGTGGCCATTGCTACTCCATAGAGCATAGTTTTGCCAACACCTGTAAAGTCTTGTTTACCAAAGGTAGGGGTCTGCAGCTGTGCTGAACTGTCAGGCAGCATTCCAGCATGATATCTCACGCCCACCTTCTCTCCCCCAGCTCAGTGTTGTTTTGATTTTAGTATGTCTCCCAAGCACCTGGTAAAGATTTAACAAAGGCGCAGTTTTCTGGGCTCATGACGCAGCCATGCTCATACCCTTGGTCTGAAACGGGCCATCCTCTGGCTCCTCTCCCCCACTTCCAACCCACTGGATTTCTCCTTTGGGAGAAAGGCGGATCTTCTCCTCCCGTGGGATTCACAGTCTTGAACACCTGTTTCTGTATCTACCTCCACACTTGGCCCACGCATGACTCACTCTTTGGGTGACTTTGCTCAACCTAGTGACACTGGGTGGTGTGTCCGAAGCAATATTTTGTAACTGTGAGAATCTGGTGAGATGCTTTGCATTCTATTCCTCTTCATAGCCAGTGAAGCAAAGTGGTGCTGTCTCAGCCACTTCCTGTGCTCCCCGGATGTCTGAAACATGGGATTCCAGCGTTACCCCGGCCCTGGCAGTTCTCTTGCCCTTTTATTCTGAGTGGAGCACAGACTTCTTTCCTGGAAAGATCCACCTCTGAGTAATATGGATGAGGGTGTTTTGTGGAGTTCTCCTCCCTATTTATTTTTTAATGGAAGAAACCAAACTAAGTCCTGTAACTCTGTGTGAGAATCTTCATAACCAGGCAGAGCTCTAAGTCCTTCTACAGGAAAACCTCATCTGTCATTGTCAAAAAAGAAGGCAGGACCAAGACTCGTGAAGGCTGCTGGCCTCTGCCATGACAACCAACTTGTCAGGGCCACTTGGGGGAAGGTTTTCTGCTCCTGCTGTAGCAAGTTTCAGAGATCCCCTAGGAAGAGGCCATTAGCTGAAAGGTGGTGGACTATGGGATGTGCTCTGGTCACTTCCCAGTGATCACCCATGTGTGTTGTGCTGCATTTGTGTGTGTAATGGGATTATCAGGGTCCTGCGCGGATGGCCAGTCTTCAAACTTTACATTACTGAAAATTTTCTTTCTTAAAGTTACCTGCCTTTGACTTTTGAACTTCATCCTCTCGCTTCACCTGGATTTCCCAAGTTGCTGGAGCCTGGTGGAAGGATTCAGTCAGGCACCAGCAGGAGAGGGAGGGGTTCTACAAAAGTAGAAGCTGGCGTGTCATCATCATAGCCTCAGTCCACCTCCCCAAAGCCTGGTCATGGTTGGTGTGGACCCCATGGTCCTTTCTGTATTTAGACCAAGGGGTTTAAGTAGAACGTGTTGAGTGAGGCCGGCTCACTGCTGCTCTGTTAGGGATCTGATTACGCACTGGGCCATCTCTCAGCTGCCTGGGGAAGCATTTCCAGCAGCTCCCGGCCAGCCCAGTTTCGTGACATTGCATAGGTTCAGTGAAAAGGAGGGTGGTGTATTATACTGAACTCAATAGAGAATATGGGTGATTGGGGGTATGGGTGGGGACTGCTTTCAAGGAAAAGAACCAGGCCCCTCCTAGTTCACCCTTTAACTGACCCACAACCGTTTTATTTGACTGTTAATACCAGCCAATGTCAATCTGGTCTAAACCCATCAAGGTCTCCCGCTGACATATAATGGTTCCCACAGACATTAGCAACTAGACTTCCCTGATCTTTGTATTATACCGGGGTTGCTATTGATTCCAGAATCCAAGACCAGAGGAAAGGGGACTTCCACAGCAGTCCAGTTTTCCTTGCTTTCAAGATTAGGCTGATCAGGAAAGAGGATAAGGAAGAGGTGGACGACCGTAGAGCACAGATGGCTGGCTGAGAGGAACAAGACCAGCATCTCTGCGTTTGAGGCAATCTCTGGCTCCTCCTGTGCCCGAAGGCCAGCTTCCAGCCTGGCTCTGCTGAAGTCAGGTGGCCTCGTGCAAAAGGAAGGAGAAGGTCTCTGGTCTGGTGTGCACACCTGTCTGGCTTTGAAGGACCAGGAAGGTGGTGACCACTTCTGGGGACCTATATTGGTCTCAACTGATGACTAAACCATCATCTTCTTTGGGGTATGTTTAGAAGCTGCTCCAGGCCAAGGGCATTTTCCTTTTTATCTCTTATGAGCAGTGAAGGAAGGCATACCTCAGATCTCAGAATGGTCTGCAGGAGGGCAACATGGCTAAATGATAATCTTGTGAGCCCTACTGGGGACTGGGAGGCTGGTTCTGGCATCTACGATGTTTCTAGCACCAGGTACTTGATGACACCAGATACCCCTGAATCCCTTCTGCTGCTGGAGGTCGTCCAGTGGAGAGAAAAGCGCACTGGTAAAGGGGAGTCAAGGCTGTCTTTTCCAGCTCTGCAGTTAATTTGTTTCCTTAAGTAAGTTTAGGCTAAACTTAAATGACACCTGGTTTCTTTACTGCATGAGTCCCATTATTTCGACATATAATGTGTCTTAAGACTCTTTAATGTGCAATTAGAAAGTGTTTCCTGAACATATTTGACCATGGGACTATTTATAAAGTGGCAACCTGCTAGTTAGTGTCTTGCTGGACACAATTTGTAAAATGACCAACTAGAAGTTTCTATCATTGCACTTTCCAATCCTATACCATTGAGTTTCTTGCGGTCATCAGATGTTCTTGAGGAAGAAACATTTCTGCTGGGAAATTAAAGAGACCAACATAGGATGGGTGGAAGAGCCCTAACCAAATGCCTGCCTTGGGAATTCCAGGACCCTTTTCTCTTCTGAGAACTAGTGATGATTCCTCAAAGACCATGTGGTCGACTCCCAACTGTCCACGTTAAGATAGCACTCTGGATGGAGGCTGTGTCACAAAGTACCCCCTCTGTTTCTGCTGTATTCTGAAAGACCCCTCTTGTCACCAATGGTCAAATTTCCTTCTGTTCTCCGATGGCCCAGGTAGGTGTGCCGTATGTTCGGAGAGAGTCTCGAGCACATGGACCAAACGAACTTGAGAGATGGTGGGTTTTCCTGACTGAGCTTTTCTCCTTTTGTTTGCAAAATGCTGTCAAAAGATTATTGCCTCATTGATCGCCGAGGTCCAGCTGTAGGGTCAGCATTTGATGGAGGTGGAGAGACCCAAAGGCAAGTGACATGTGAACATGAAATATGAAAACTAGCCACAAACAGACATCTCACTTGGTTATTGGAGTCAGGGAAGCAAGCATCTGGGTGGGAGAGGGATGGGAGGCTTGTCTAGAAGCTCCAGTTTGAAGACCCTGAAGGCTCTCAAAGGGCCCACCCCTCAAGTCTGACAACACTGCAATGTTACGGTCATGGGAAATGAGAGCACATAGAGCTAATCAGTTCCTGGGTCAAAGGCATTTAGAAAGTATATATTCTCAGTCCCTCCATTCTGTTCCCAGTAGGAACCAAGGCTGAGAAGAAAAGGGAGACAGGAGAGGGGACAGTGTAATAGTGACCACTGTCCCCCACCCAACCTGGATGTGATTAGTCAGAGAACAGGCTGGCGAAGGACTTCCTCAAGTTGCGGATGGTTTCGGCCTTGGCTTCGTCTTCACTTGGTGTCCCGCGTTGGGATGTATCTGATGTGCTGAGGCTGTTAGTCAGGGATTGCGATTTGCTGAAACAAAAAGGCAAAGGGGTTAGAGGAGACAGTTCTAGATTCAGGAAATGTCTTGAGCACTTGCTTGAAAGGCACATGGGTGAGGATGAGCCCCATCATCCTAATTAAAAAGTCAGGCATCCCAACACTTTACGATGCCGCACATGTCACGCACAGTATTTATCCATCACAATACCCCTGTTGTTGTTATGTGCCGTTGAGTCGTTCGTGACTCATAGTGACCCTGTGTACAACAGCCCTAAACCCTGCTCTATCCTGTCCCAATCGCACTGTCTCTGACACACCCATCCCAATAACCCCAGTCACTGAATCAATCCATCTCATAGAGGGTCTTCCCCTCCTGTGCCTGCCCTCCAACCTCCCAGACATGATGTCCTTCTCCAACGACCCGTCCCTCCTGGCAACATGCCCAAAGTATGTCAGACAAAACCCCAGAATCCTTGCTTCCAAGGAGTAGCCTGGTTTAACCCTCTCTAGGATGAATCTGTTTGTTTTCTTGGCAGTCCATGGTACATTCAATACTCTTCTCCAGCACCACGGCTCAAAGGCATCAATTATCCTTCTGTCCTCCCTAGTCATTGTCCAACTCTCTGATGCATAACAAGCGATTGCAAAGACCATGGCCTGTATCAGGAGCACCTAAGTCTCCAGAGAGACACCGTTGCTCTTGAGTATTTTAGAGAGGTCCCTAACAGCAGACTTTCCCATCGCAATACATTTTTTGATTTCCTGGCTACTGGTGCCAAGAGTGTTGACCGTGGAGCCGAGCAAACTGAAGCCCCTGCAAGGTGGTTATTCTCACGTTCACTTATCAGCCATAGAAAATGTTACTCACACAGGGCCTGTGGGGGGTTGGTTCCAGGACTTCAGTCCCCAAATTCATGGTGTTCAAGTTCTTTATATAAAATGTGCAGTATTTGCATCCACTTCCTCAACATGCCTCTGGAAACTATGAACTTTGATAAATGTTGATCATTACAGAAAAGCTTCAGGCCTTTTGTTCATAGGGTCACTATGAGTCATGCTCGACTTGAAGGCAATTGACAACAACAACAACAACATTTGCATATAACCTACCCACACCCTCCTGTATACTTTAAATCATCTTTATATTATAATACCTAAACCCCCATCCAAAACCAAACCCAACCCACTTTCCTTGAGTTAATGTCAACTTACAGAGGCCTTCCAGCAAGTTCCCAAGGTTGTAAATCTTTACAAGATCAGATCAGAGGTAGATTTGAACTGCTGACTTTTTTTTTTTCGGGTAGCAGCATAAAACATTGTATATACCACCATCAGAGGTGCTGATAGCACCTTTCTTTTCTTTTTTTTAAAAAAACTAGTTTATTTACAAAATTCTAATATAAATTTGAACAAATTATTTCAATTTCCCTTACCCTCCCCCCAACAAGTTGTACAATCCAATAATTAATCCCCTTTCCCCCTGTACATCCACATCCCTCTGTTTCCACCCTCTCCCACCCCTCCAGGATCCTTATACTCATTCTACAATGATAGTTTTATACAATATTTATCCTTGTGGGACTAAGTTAGTTTACTCAGCATAATGCTCTCCAGTCCCTCCCAAGTTAGGCAATAATTTACAAACTTATTGCTCCTGTGTGCTGTATAGTATTCCATTGTGTGAATGTACCATGATTTCTCAATCCATTCGTTTGTAGTTGGACATTTGGGCTGTTTCCATGTTCTTGTGATGGTGATAACACCTTTCTTGTGATGTACCACTGAGTTGACTATGACTCATGGGGACCTTACCAACCACAGATCTGAACCTTGCCATATCCTGCGCCGTTCTCACTACCTCCCCATCACAAGCCTCTTGTTACAGTCTCTGTGTCAATCCATCTTGGAGGTTTTTCTTGCTTTCTCTGATCTTCCATCTTTCTCAGCACGATATCTTTTTTTCTAAAGACTGGCCCCTTCTCATTGTAAATACTATGCAAATAACCCTTTGCTGTCACTCATAGCTTGTAAAGGATTCATATCGGTCGCTATGAGTCATACTCAACACGAAGACACTTAACAACTTACGGGCGACAACAGTGACTACAACAGCGGCTTGGTGCTAAGGAGTTGCAGTTCTGCCAGCCCAAAGACACGTGGTTCAAAGCCACTAGCTGTTCCACAGGAGAAATATGGGCAGTCTCCTCCCATACAATGTATAGTTTCTGAAAATCAGCCAGGAGTCAGTTCTGACTCTATGGTACAACATGACCACTTAACTGCCCCCAGCTTTCAGTATTTTCACTGCGGAGTCGGCTGAGTCTACACATATAGAATATGGAGGGGGGCTGTCTGTCACTTGCTCAGATCTCCGCAGCAAGTCATGAAGGAGCAGCCAAGCCTTCCATTCTCCCACACCACCAGGTTGCCCAGGCTGCAGACTTTATTAACTGGCCCAATGTCTACAAGCATGCTTGGTAAACTTCAGAGGGCTGAATTAACATCAGCTTATCATTGATTATACTGTAATTTCCAAACACTAGGTTGGGAATGAAGAACTTCTGGACTCTGTTCTGCCGCTTGATTTATGTGATCATAATGACTTCTGATGTGGGCAGATGACTTCTCAGGGGCTCTGCTACCCTATCTGTAAAATGTAGGGTTGACCTAGCTGACCTTCAGGCCACTGGTAGTCCTGACATTTGGGAGTTTAATTCCCACGTCTTTCCTGAAGCCTTCATTGACAATTCCAGTCTGTTGTCCTGATTCTCACAATGTATACTGTGTGAGCAACAGTGTCCTGTTCTCTGAATGCACCACGAGTGTCAGTCTGTAGCAACCATCTGCTGAGTACGTCTTTTGTGCCAGGCCTAGCATCATGTGCTGGGGTGTAGGGTTGAGCATACTTCAGTCCCTGCCCTCAATAAGCCCACAGTCGGGTAGAGGTGACAGATGTAGGAAGATACGATGTAAATATGTCACAGGTTTAAGAGATCTGCATACAGTCTTATCGCCCATGCAAAAACATAAAACCTCTTCAGAAAAGATTTCTTTCTCTGTGTAATTACTTTCTAGAAGTAGGGATTATGATAGTTATTAACTTGTAAGCTTTGGGAAATTGGAAACAAAACACAACTACTATGGTAAATTGGCCTGCAGAAAGTGAACAGTGTTAGCTATGAAACTATGATTGTCAATATTAGATGGAATCAAGCCATGTGACTCCCAAAGCTGGGCTTCAAGAGGTCCTGATCTTTTTTGCTTTTTGTCCTTTAAGACACAGTTCTACAATGTGAGTAAGCTCAGCCTAGTTTACTTGAGAATGAGGTCCATGGAGAGAACCAGCTAACATGAGAACCAGTAACCATATATGTTAGTGATGTGAATGAGGTCCTCTCAGAAGATCCAGCCCCATGTGTTCTGCCAGAAGACCAAGACTATACGAATAACCCCTGGAGAAGAAGGTTGCCTGATTTATCAGATAAACTTATAGGACACCTGGTTAAATTTAAATTTTGGATAAAAAAATGCAAACAACTAATTTCTTTAGGATAAATGTATCTCGTGGAATGTTTGGGACATATTTATATTAAAAATGATTAATTTTTTTATCTGAAATTCAACTTTAACATGGCATCCTGTGTTTTATTTTCAACTTTATAGGAGAGGCCAGAGGAACCACCTTCCAGCTCAGCTAAGCATAGAATAAATTGACAAACCAAAAAAAATAAGAACATAAAATGATTATCTTCTTTAATCACTAAGTGCTGGGGTGGTTTGTTATTCAGCAAAGATAACTAATAATGTACTAATATTTGTAAGGTAACTCAGCTCATTGCCATGGAGTTGGAACTGACTCAGTTGACACTCCAGAGCATTTCAGAGGCTGTAAGTCACATGTAAGGGGATTATCGATAATTCTCCATTTCTCCCATGTTGCTGCTGGCGGTGTGAACCTCCAAAAAGACACTACCTCTGGGTTATTAGCACAACTCCCTGTGGTCTACACTACCAGAGCTCCCTGGATAAAGTAACGGTGGGGGCTAATCTACGTTTTTTCACCCTTCACATCTCTGTGGTGCAGTTTCTATCTTCGATACTTGTTTCTACCTTTTTAAAGTTTAGGTGAATACCTTTCTTCTTTTTCTGCCTTCTCCTGGCGAGAATGAAGATGTGGAGTGAGTCATCCTAATTGTTTGGTTCATTTTTCCCTGAATAGCCAAGCAGGAAATTGAAAAGGAATCTGGGCCCCTGACACCAGGTAGCTGCTGTACCTGGATTGTTAATGGAGGAGAAAGAAATGTTTCTCTGATTTAGGTCACTGGTACTTGGGTCCATGTTAGTTGCCAAATGGACCTTTATATTAATCTAGTCTTATTCCAAGGAAGGGTCAACTTTCATGGGAGCAGTGTCAGACTTACATCCAATCAATTTAGTTCTTCCCTTCAAAGAGAGGCCCTGCTTCCTGCAACAAAATTCTTAGAACAGATGCCCAGTGGGTCAACTGGTGCCATGTGTTCACAACTGAATCAGTTATCGTCTAGTTCTGGAAACCGAACAACTAGGAGATAATTGAAGAGGAGGCTGACACATTGTGTGGGGAAGTGTAAGCAAGGCTTTGTTGGGGTTTCCTTTGTCTTTGTACCTCTGACCTTGAACCTGCTCAGCTCTACCCATCCCCCAGTTTCACCCTATAACCTTCCAAGTTCCCAAAGCACTTACTTGAGATGGGGGTGGGGTGGTACTGACTTCTGGGACTCTTCGCCCTGTTGGGAGCTGCTGCGGCCCTGAATAGGGGGCCGGGGCTGGGAGGTGAGTGCCGGCTTGGAGGCCTGATTTGGTGAGCTGCCACCAGAGGCCCGGGCCAGCTGCGGAGAACCTGGTGACCTCTGCTGTTGTGGAGATGCAGACTGGGGGCTGACAGGCTGCTGGCCTTGCGGGGAGAGCCTCTGCTGTGAAGGGCTTCCAGACCTCGGCGGCTGAGAAGACTGAGCTTGGCGGGGGCCTCCTAGGAAGAAGAAAGCTATTAGGTTTAAAAGGATAAATATGGTTTTATTAGGCTTCTTAGGAAGCTCTGGTGGTTTGGTGGCTAGGAGCTGCACTGCCAATCCAAAGGCTGCTGGTTCGAATCCACCAACTGCTCTGCTGGAGAAAGATGGGCAGTCACTTCCTGTGCAATTTATTGCCTCTGAAAACCTTCTGGAGGGTCAGTTATGACTCTGTTCTGACAATAAGCTCCTTAGAGGCAAGGATGGTGAAACTTTGCTTCATGTTGTCGGAAAGGGTCTGTCCTTGGAAGAGATATCATGCTGGGAAAGGTGGACAATCAGAGGAAGAAAGGAGACCCTCAACGAGACAGATTGACTCAGTGACTGTGACAATGAGCTCCAGAGGGTGGGAGATTGTGAGGATAGATAGTTCGGGATAGAGCAGAGTGCAGACTTGCTGTCTCTATAAGTCATAGCTTGAAGGTACCTAACAACAACAACAACAAAGGTTTAATAATTGAGATTTAAGGGTAGTTAATGGAGCATCACCCCTCCTTCCATTTTTTATTGTGACTTGAGTGAAAGTTTTTTCAATCATCCATGCACATTTTATTCATAACATTAATTACAATACCAACCATGTCTAATTGTTCATTCATTCCATATATTGCCTTTCCCTTCACACATTTCAGTAAATATCCATTATCTATTAATTAATCTCTAAATCCTTTCCCCGTCTGCTCTTCAGGGCAAAAAAATAAGAGCAGATGTGGGAGCCTTAATCCACAATGTAAACAGACTATCAAGTATAACCCAAAATTCACAGCTGGAAAAGGCTAAGCTAGATGAATGGGAAATTCTTATGTGCATAAACATTTTCTTCAAATGAGTAAAAAGAAAAGAAGGACCTGCAGACAGGGAAAATCTATTTGGCAATGATATAGCTTACAGTTTGGAGACTAAGGTGCGCCTGATCCAGGCCACAGTCTTCACAATTACTTGCTATGCATCGTAAAGCTGGACAATGATGAGGGTATCATGATAGAATGAGATGTGATGCCTTTGAGCTGTGGTGTTGGAGAAGAGTATAGAACATATACCACGGACTGCTAAGAAAATGAACAGGTTCATTCTGGAGAGGATGAAATAGGCTGCTCTTTGGAGGCAAGGATTCTGAAGCTTCATCTGACATACTTTGGACATGTTGCAAGGAGGGACCAGTCCTTGGAGAGGGACATCATGCTTGGGAGGGTCGAGGAACAGAGAAAGAGAGGGAGACCCTGGATGAGATAGATCGATTCAGTGACTATAGTAGTGGGGGTAGGTGTGTCAGAGAGAATAAAGTTGGCACAGAATAGAGCAGGGTTCAGAGCTGTTGTACATAGGGTTGCTATGAGTCGCACGTGACTTGACAGCACCTAACAACAATATCTTATAAGAGACTCATATTTAAAATCAATAGAGAATTTCAATTCCTCAACAAGAAGAATACAGACAATCCACTTACAAAATTGACAGGCAGAATATAGGAAAGGTCTCTTCACCAAAGAAGACATACAGATGGTCAGCAAACACCTGAAGAAATGCTCAAGACCACTAGCTATTACAGAGATGCAAATAAAAACGGGGTATCACCTCACCCCAGCAATAGTATAACTGTTCTTATGACAGTTAAAAACCCATAAAAACAATACCTAACTAGAAGGGCCCTGGTGGCACAAGTGTGCTGATCCTTGGAAGGAAGATGTGAACATCTGCTTCCACGAAGATGACATCAGCTGAAACCCTACGGAGGTTCTACGGGGTCTCATCCGGTTGTCATGAGTTGGAATCAATTCAGTGGTATTTAAAAAAAACAAGAAACATTAGGGAAATTATTGCATAGGGATCCACTTCATTTCCCCCTCTTTTTTGTGATAGCATGTTCTAGTAGAGTAAGAGACCCGTTGATCTCAAATTCAAACATCTATGGAAACTGGTTATTATGTAAAAAAATAAAGCAGGTAAGCGCAAAAAGTGCCATATAGGCCTATAACATTTTTCTTACTTGAAATAACTTTGGTTCAGTGAGATATTTCTCTAAAGAGGTGCAAACCCGAAGAAAACGACATTGGCACTTGAAGCCTTGCTGTGACAATAACGAGGAGTAGGGCCTGAGAGGAGGAAGAGAAAGTCTTCGCTGCATTTGAGAAAGAAGAGAGACTCTTTGCTGTATTTGCTATCCATAGTAGACGGCTGTTTGTGGAATGCACGCCCATTATTTCTAGAGCTTCTGTTTTATCATAAGAAACCGGAAATCTAGATGCTTGTGGAAAATCTCTTGATAAATTTTTGGCTTACTTTTTAGTTTTTAATCGCCGTGCAAGTCAAAGAGTATCTCTGTTTTGTACTTACACCTTAAGCAATGGTGTTACTAGGCTTGGTATCATCCAGCATGGTAACTTATGGTGTCCCCAAAGACCTCTTCTCCTAGCAGACCAGACAGAATCCTTAGTAATGCTTATTATCAATGTTACTAATAGAATGGCATGTGATGAATACAGCTATAAAGTGCTTAATGTGGTCTTCCTTGCTGTTGTCGTTAGGTGGTATCGAGTAGAGTCCGACTCATAGCGACCCTCAGTGGACTGAAGCCTGGTCCGATCTGTGCTATCCTCAGCCTCTGCTGTGCCCAAGCCCACTGGTGCATTACATTACATTAAGTAATGGGCTGTTAACAAAAACATTGGCAGTTTGAAACCACCAGCCACTCTGAGGAAGAAAGATAGGTAGTTTCCTTCTGTAAAGACTCATAGTCTTAAAAAATGTGACGGAAGGTCACCATGACTTGGGAACAATTTGACTGCAGTATGTTAATGGACCTAGGTGAAAGGTTTTTGTTGTTATTATGACAAGATTTATTTATTTGGCATGTAAGAGGCTTATTCAGAGGTGGTTTTAATAAACACTTGCGGAAAGACAGAAACAATGGCGGGGGACGGGGGAGGGGGGAGAAGTTGGGCTTCATTGCAACAGATGTCTCAGTCAAGCCCACTAGGAGTTCTAGTATTGGCTGGCCCTTCAGGTGTGCCCTACATTGAGGGAAGACCAGTTAGCTTGCAGGATTAAGAATGAAGCAGGTTGATGAATGCACAAAGCATTTGCAAGAACAACTGAATCTTTGTGTCCCCAGGACGTTCACTGGCCGTGGCCTCTGGAAGGAGAGCATGTCTGTGAGGAATGCCCCCTTCCCCAGTCCGAGGCATTTCCAGAAGGACTCAGCTGAGGCATGTCAGGTGGCACGCTTTCCTCCCTGGAAGGATCAGTGCACACCACAGCATCGCACTGGGAAACTCTGCTGTCAGGGACCTTGCCAAAGTGCTAGAGTGCAAAGATGTCAGTCAGTTTGAAGTCTGAGGTTCACCTCATTCAAACTATGGTCTTTTTGCTACATCTGAAAGTTGGACAGTGGCTAAGGACGACAGCAGAATTGGTGCCTTTGGGTTGTGGTGCTGGAGAAGAGCACTGACTATTCCGTGGACTGCCAAAAGGACAAATGACCATGTCTTGGAAAAGGCGCAGCTCCCTGGAGGCAAGGGCAGTGACACTTCTTCTGACATCCTTTGAGACATCCTTTTGGGACATGTTGTTGTTAAGAGGTGCTGGTCTTCAGAAAAGGACGTCATGCTTGGATAGGTGGAGGGTCAGAGAAGGAGGGGAAAACCCTAATGAGATAGACTGACTGAAGCTCAAGTGTGTCGGAGGTGACAGGGATAACACAAGGTTCAGGCACACGGTGAACAGTTTTACTGTGAGTCAGAGCTGCCTCGATGGCACTTAACACTAACACCACTACCAACAACAGCAACAGCAGCAGCAGCAGCAGCATTCACTACAGTTCACCTCTTGCCCTAATCCAATTGCTTTGAATGAATTATGGAAGCAGTTCTCTTAGGAACTGAAGGGCATTTTTAATAAGAAAGAATAAATCTCTGCTGAAAAGAGACAATAATTTTGGTGACTTCCTCAGACAAAGTTACCCAATGCGGTTTGCACCCAGGAGAAACACCATTGGCCCCACCACATTCCTTTGTCCCCAGTCAACACTACCTTGCAAATTCTAAACACTCACATAGTGTTTGCTGAGTCCTTATTACATACCTGGGATTCATCAGGAGACACCTAGTGATTTCTTCAAGCTATTTGCAAAGCAAACAGTGGAATGTTTTTCATTCACACACATATAAAGCCTATTAATTAAAGGATAGAAAATATTTGCCTAAGCTCAGATTAATGGAAAAAAAAAGAGATGAAATTCATTGAAAGAAAGCTTCACTTTGGGCTTTAAATGAACAAGTTAATAATGTGCTCTTGTTATTCTGGGAACTCAATGAAAGCATTATTTCCCAATTAGCCTCGTTATTTTTAATCTGGACATTAATTCAGTGGACATTTTCTCTAATTGCCTTAATTGGCTTTTAAAAGGGTTGCTTTTCAACTCCCAGCAAGTGTGTTCAGACTGATGTCCTAAAAATAAGAATTCTTTATGAGGCAAGACTGTACTCTGGGCCTCAGGAGGAAATCCGAATACAGGAGATTTTGTGTTTTCAAAATGCCCTGTAGATGTGTTTTAATGAGTAAGTTGTGGGGCAAGGTGGGAAAGATGGGCACAGCCAGGTGCCTGCGAAGGGTAATGAATAAGGATAAATGAAGGCCATTTAGAATTAGGAAAGTACTGACAGGTATCAGGGCCCTTTCACCATAACTCAGTCGACCTGTATGCTTAGGAAATAGTCTCAGAAGTTGGCCTATATGAAGAGCACCACATCAACAGGACTGGAGGAAGAATCATCCACAATCGGTGATATACAGATGACAACAGGGAGCTTGGGTGGCCTCGTGGTAAGGAGTTATGTTGCCATCCCAAAGGCAGGGAGCTCGAATTCTCCAACTATTCTGAGGGAGAAGGATAGGCAGTCTCCTCTGAGATTCACAGTCTCTGAGAACCCGATGGAGGGTCGGTGATGAGTTGGTTCTAATTTGGTGGTACATAACAACAACATGCAGATGGTACAACCTTGCTTGCCAAAAAAAGAAGAAGACTTGATGCACTTATTGATGATGTTTAAAGACTATATAGCCTTTGGTATGGATTCTACCTGAAAGTAAAACCAAACAACTAAAGCACAAAGTCCTCACAACTGGACCAATAAACAACACCATCATAAACAGAAAAGACTGATGTTGGCAAAGCTTTCATTTTACTTGGATTCACAATCAATGCTCATTGAAGAAGCCGTCAAGAAATCAAATAACTGATTTAATCTCCTTGTCAAAAATCAGTTGACCATAAATAGATGGGCTGATTTCTGGGTTCTCAATTTTATTCCATTGATCTATGTGTCTGTCATTGTACCAGTACCATGCTGTCTTAACTGCCACAGCAGTGTAGTAGGATTTGAAATCAGGGAGTGAGATGCCTCCTACCTTTTTTCTATTTTTAAGGAGTGCTTCGCTTATTTGGGGCTTCTTTCTATTCCAAATGAAGCTGGAGATTGCCTTTTCCATCTCGTTGAAGAATGGGATTGGTAGTTGTATTGGGATTGCATTGCTGTAGAATGGGACTGACATCAGGATTAGGGTAAGAATGAGAAAAATTGGATGAATTATGTATACTGCATTGAAACCAATGAGGGAGAGAACAGTTTAAAAGCAATATATTTTAGGGCATTATGATTATCATGAGAGTCCGGAATGAAGGTTGCAGAGTGGCGTATACTCGGGGTAGGGGTGGTGGGGGATGTGGGGGATTGTATACCAATGAAGGAATTTTTCTTTTACTTTTCAAAGAGAAGAGTGAACTGGGGGTGGGGGTGGGGTGGGTGGGGAGAAACGTGCAATAATGAATGAATGGAAATCCAAAATCTCTGTAAATGTTCATCGAAATTAATTTAAAAAAAAAAGAAAAATCAAATAACCTTTGTGCTGGGCAGATTTACTGCAATGGACCACTTTAGAACAGGACCGCTTTAGAACGCTATGGAGCAAAGATGTCACGTCGAGGTGCATCTGACCCAAGCGGTGGTATTTTCAATTGCCTCTTTGAAAGCTGGGCAATGAATAAGGAAGACCGAAGAACTGATGCCTTTCAACTGTGGTGCTGCCAAACACTATTGTCTATATCATGGATGGCCAAGAGGACAAACTCATCTGTCACAGAAGCAGTGTATCCAGCGTGCTCCTTAGAAGGGCATGCTGTACGGAGGGGCCAGCCCTTGGAGGAAGGCCTCATGCTTGGTAAAGTGTAAGGTCAGTGTGAAAGAGGACGACTCAGGTGAACTGACACAGTTACAGCAACGGGTGTGAATGCAGCAGTGACGGTGGGGCAGGCACAGAGCAGGCAGGGTTCTGTTGTGCATGGGTCCCTGCGAGTCAGGGGCAGCTTGATGCACCCAGCACAGCAAGGCCTCCTGAACTGTGAGGTGATGCATTTCTGCTCCTCAAAGCCACTCGCTTGTGGTTATTTCTGCTACAGCAACAGCAGGAGACCAAGACCTCCACTAAATGGAGCACCTTGCTAACGGCTTTGCTTGCCTGAGTTCATCCTACTTCTCAGTACCTGACGACTTCACGATTGAAGCATCTGATATGTTGGAGAAATGACTTATAAGCTTCTGAAGACAAAGGCCATGAGACATGGAACTAGGATCAGACACGTGGACATCTGCCTGAAGAAAGAATGCCGATAAGACGTAACTGTTGAGCCACTTCTGACCCCTAGCGACCCTCTGGTGTCCGACGCTGTGCATCTATATTGGTAATGTTCATTTTCCTCCCACAGATCAACTAGTGAATTTGAACTTAGATCTTTAAGTTAGCAGTGCATCATACATACACACCAGGCTACCAGAACGCTCTGGAGAGGAAAAGTAAAAAGCTCAATTGTGCATGGGCACAGACAATGAGGCTTTTCAGAAATGTCTTCTCTTCTAGGGAAAGAAGTCTAAACCAGAAAGCTAGATGGGCTATTTCATTGAAGGCTCTGGGAGAGAATGTTATTAAGTACCACAGGCTGGTTTCCCTTCCCCCAAAAATGAACCTGCTCCTTTAATAAAAGTGATTGGGGATACTACTGTACAGCAGGAACCTCTTCTTTCTGAGAGGGTTTTGAGCAGATCCTTACATGATTGGTGCGAAGCTGCTCTGGGGCTTGGAGGCGGGCACTTTGAGCAGTACATGCACCCAGAAGTCACTCCTTCCCAGAGGGGCCATGGGGCTGTCTCCTGAGGCTGTAAGAAAGCAGCTGGCTTTCTGTGAGAAAGTGACATAAGTGGGGGCCGCTGCTTTTGCCTCTGACTGTTTTTTAAATCTAGTTACCAACAGTTTGTCCCTTCTCTAACTAACTATGGGGCCAGAGTCTCAATCTGTCATCCCATGATGGTTTATGTGTTGCTATGATGCTGGAACCAATGCCAGTGGCACCTCTAACCCCAGCAGGGCCACCTGGTGGAGGAAGCCGAGACCGCTGGGCAGAGCTTTCACACGCAGTCTAACAAGAAAGGCTTGACGTTTTCATTCTGAAAATTAGGATATGATTCAACAAGCTGCTAGAAGATGGCACAGGACCAGTGTAGACATCAGAACGGATGCCACTAACGATCCCAGCGACATGGTGATGACAGGGTATTTTCTGAGGAAGAAGTTCATCCGGAAGGCTCTATTTTCCTTTCTTACTCCAGCTGCTTGGCTCACAAATCTATAATCAGGCCCAACTCGTGTCTAGGATGCTTATGTGCTTTCTAGAAGATCTGAAAGACTAAACTTTTAAGACTGCTTTTTTTTGTTGTGTTTTGTTGGGCGAAGCCTCAACTTGTACTGCTGTAAGAAGAGAGTACGAGGTTTCTACTCTAATGTGGTGGGAGGGATGAAAAACAAGAACTCAGATGCACAGCTATTCCTTGGAGCTAGTGCAGGTTTGGGCTCAGAGAACCACATAAAGCGAGTATCGTAATAATGCCAGCCACGCTGGGTGGCGGGACAGATAATACACAGTGAGGATTTGATTGTTGTTACCGTGCGCCCCCAAGAGAGAAATGACCCACAGCTGACTCTCCAGTGGGTTTTCAGAGCAGTCAATGATAACATGGAAGGGGGTTTTGAATTTTTTTTCCCATGGAGAAGCCGGTGGATTCAAACCGTGTACCCTTGGGGTGGCAGCACAATTCCTTACCTCTAAGCCACCAGAGCTCCATGACTGGGCATCAATCAATTCTAATTATCATAAAATAAGTCAGTCATGAATGATTGAAAGAAAACCCAATATGATTTGTACACTTTCACTCAAAGAAAAGAATTTAAAAAAACAAACCAACCAACCAAAGACTGAGAAAGAAGGGATAAATAACGTATACTGTATTGAAACAAATGAGGGAGAGAACTGTTTAAGTGATAAATTATTAGGTATTATTGTCAGGACAGGAGTCCAGAAAGAAGGCTGCAAAGTAGAGTAGACTTGGGGGGAAGGATTATGTACCCATGAAAGAATTTTAATTTTCAAAGAGAAGAGCAAATTGGGAGGGGGGTTGGTCAGGGAGAAAAGTGCAACAATGAAAGAATGGAAATCCAAAGTCTCTGTAAATGTTCATCAAAATTAATAACCCCCAACCCGAAACAATAATACCAGTCGCATGAATTTTTGGGTTTCCAAGGGTATAGAAAAGTCATGTTTCCACTGTAGTCTGTTAAATGTGCCATTGCATTATGAAAAATTTGAAACATTGCAAGAATGAAACTGAGACACAGAAACTCAAAGTGAGTTGAGTTTCTCAAAGTGCTGTGAGCACTCAAAGCGCTGGTGGAAAAATAGCGCCCACAGACTTGCCTGAGGCAGAGTCGCTACAAAGCTTCATTGTGTTTCGTTTCTAAAGAACAGTATCTATGATGTGCAATGAAGCAAAGTCCAGTGACAGGAGGAATGCGTGGGTCTAGCACAGAGCCAGCTACTGAGAATGTTTACTTTCTGTCACCTCTTCCTCCTTTGCTGACCAGGAGATGCCACACCTCATCTCATCCCTTCAGCCTATGGCGTTGGTGCAGGTAGTCTGTGGGTCAAGTATTAGGATGGCTCCCAAGAAGCACCTAACACTCTTCCTGAGGTGGGTCCCTCCATCCCCTGGCTGGCCAATGGTCCTACCTTGGGTGGGCGGGCGTGGCTGGGGCTGGCCTAGCTGAGGCACCAGCTGAGCTTGTCCTGGGGATTTTGCTGGCTTCATCGGTGGGGCCTGGAGGAGGAGAAAAGGAGCCATTGTGGTCACCACGGCCACCACTTGCCTGGGGTAGCGTGAAGGGTGAAGATTTTAAAGTAAGATCTTGCTAGTACTGAGGTAAAAAAAAAAGAAGCATATATTGGACACATCTTAAGTGTTCATTGTGATGCATTTTAACCTAGGTCTGCCTGTGTATAACCACAACCTGGATTAAGACAGACATTTCCCAGAAGGCTGTGCTGTTGCCCCATCCAGGCGACCAGGCACTGCAGGACACCATTCCCCTGACCTCTCTAACAGGAGACTCGCTTTTTTGTGCATTGTGTGAGGGGGGCAAGGTTTGGACACTAGCTTTTGCAGAAAGCTGTGAGGCCAGTGAGTTATTTGGAGAATTGTAGTTTATTGTGAAGGCAGGAGCTACCTGGGGCATGGCGGGTGCAGAGTGAAATGGAAGACAGTTGTCTACTGACTGGTGCCCTGCGTGTGTGCACACACTCCGACACACATTCACACACTCACACAAACTCACAGGTTCTCACACACAAACTCACATACCCATGTGACCTATTCCCACCGACTCACACACACATTCACACACTGTCATACACACACTTACTCACTACACTCACACACGGTCACATTCACACACACATTTTTGCATATAATCGCTCTGTCTCTCTCTCTCTCTC